TGCTGGTTCCAAGGACGGTGCCCAGAACTACCCTCAGTGCTTCAACATTGACATCACTGGCTCTGGAACTGATAACCCTGAGGGTACCTTGACCACTGAGCTCTACACCGACTCTGAGCCTGGTATCCTCTTCGACCCTTACAAGGGTTCCACCACTTACGAGATCCCCGGACCTGCTCTGTACGGTTCTGCTTCTGGCACCAAGCCTACTGTCCCTGATACTCCCTCCAACGGAACCATCTCGACTCCTGCTCCTTCTGCCCCTACCCCCGTTGCTCCCACTCCTGTCGCCCCCACCAGCCTCGTCACCTCTGTCGCCGCCGCCGCTACTCAGGCCGTTGAGGTCCCTTTCACTGAGGCCCCTGTCACTGAGGAGGATGGCACTGAGGATGGTGCTCTCCCCAAGACTTTCACTCTTGACACCTTCATTGACTGGCTCCGATCCAAGAACGGTGGCTCCAAGAAGGTTCGCCGCCACGCTCGCCAGTTCTAAGTTATCCGAGATACACCTGGAGAGAACTGGACGTGTTGATGGAGAAAGATTGATCTTTTGAAAGGTCAGGCTATTTTATATGTAGATAATAGTGAATGCGCTTGCAGAAGTCAAGCCCATGTACAATATTAAAACCCAAACACTCTTGAGAGCCCATTTGAATGTGATGTTGAATGTTGTTAGCAAAGTGCACCAAGTAATAATACTTAGCTACGATGTTCCTCCCTAACACCGCAGCTGACACGGTGTGAATCCTTCTCATACAGACTCTTAATCTGGGAAACTCTATGTGATGGTGTAATGGTAATGAATACATCAACTCTGTTTCGACTGGTGGAGACCCTGAGAAGCGGGGGACAGCACGGTAATAAAGTTTAGTGTAACGGCTGCCTAAAAATAGACGTCTCAACCTTGCTTTGCCTTTTCTATGCTTGAAGCGTGGTTGTTTATTGAGTGTAGATATGACCGTCCTCAGTAATGTTTTTAGAATAATGCTTAAAGATAATCCGGCTTATCGGAAAAATATAGCCACAGTGGCTCCAAAGCTGGACTACAGTGATGGGCAAGTCATCAAACAGTACTTGATGAGCATCCACCCTATAGATATCTTGCTGACATTTGCCTTATGTGTAGACAGCCAATGTTGTGTAGATCTCAGCGAGCTCATCGCTAGAGAAGATCAATGTTTGGGTAAGTCATCCTTGAATTGTTGTAAAGTAGTCTTGGAATGCCGATCTTAAGTACAGGGACTTTGATCCATGGCAGATAGAGCCTTGGGTATCTATAAAAGCCAGTGAGTTGGCAAGCCATAACAGCTTATCTAACTTACGACAACCAAGCCATGCAAAATTCTACTTTCCTAGGGTCGTACAATGCCACATGGTTCCTGGAGGACTATCGAAGCCATCTTCCGGGACTAGACTAGTTTAGCCGCAAGACTGAATATCTCAGCCGGGAGAGCAAAAGTTCGGTTCTCTCAACCATTTGACAGACTGTATCAGGAGCCGAAGCTACTAAGTATCCCACATACCAGTAGACCATCGAAAGGCGAGGGCTCGTATCTATAGCCCGGAACACTATATCTACGAGGTATACCCCCGAGCGCCAATTTGAAGTCCAATCGGGAGACAGAAGAATAGAGATTAACCGGATCAATACAATTAATAGGGCGAGGGACGTCGCCATCCGTGCAAAGAAATATGGCATCCTTGTCTATATAGGTGACTGCTGCCTATAAGGTCAACATTCAGTATCCTACTCTACTACCTCCAAAGATGACGGCACCCATGTGATAGCCTTAACCTAGTCTTGCCTTGGAAGAGAACACTTACTTAACCCGTCAGACTCTCAGTTCACGGTAAGAAGCTATAGAAGTTGAGGGCAGTTTTATCTGCGTCTTACAGGCAGCCGCAAGATGTAGGCAAGGGGAATTGATCAGGCACTTCAACAAGGTGATACGGGATGTATTGTTGCGTATTTCTCCATCCCGAGGCCTAGGGGACGTAGCGTGGAAGAAACAGGCTGACTATTTGCAGGTGTCCAGCCATTGAAAAGGTTGACATCTCGAAACACAGACCGCAGAGCAGGGTTTGGAAAGAGATGCGTAGGGCCAATGTGCGACCAAGTTAAAGGAAGTAGTTCACATCTATACAGTACACTGTGAGCAATCTTTCAGTCCAAGCTATGGATGACAGCTAACAATTCCGCGTTCTCCTATTTAGCCATGATATGATCGGATGCCTCAGATCCGGCAACTTAATTTTCGCTCCGGACCCTGAATAGAACATGACAATCAACGGATCGGCCCTTTGCCGTCCTAGAAATGCCTTTGGAATTAGTTTTAGCGTATTTGGGAATGTAAGTAATTCTGCCTATTCAACGAGACAATTCTGTGTTGCGACCCTAGCGTGACATCAGGCCGAGGTTGTATGTGCATAACCCCGCGCCCTCGAAAGTCCAACGGACCTTTGAGGACTGTTCCGTAATCTCTTAATTGGTGCGGTTGGGTTCGGTGGCAGGTAGCTGACTACTACCTACTCGCTTTGGCTTTTTCGATCCGTAACAGGTAACGAGCTCATGATGTGACCTTTATATGCTACGGTTTATTCCTGCCAGAAATGAGGCATAGTGTAAACAAGTCGGGTTCATTCCAAGAGAGTTATCCATGTAATCAGGCTTTGCAAGTGACATTGTTATATGTGATATGGGATGAGTCCCTGAAGAGATATTGAATATATCTTTGTAATGCTTACGATGGTTCTATTTAACAGCTGTTTAAGGCTACTGATATACTTGCCAAGCCACCGTTCGTGATAACATTTATCATAAATACTCCTCATGTTGACTACTTTAATTCTTCGCCGTGTCACTACCACAAGCCTTTGTCCTTCATACAAATTGTCCTCCATTAGTTCTGCTCAGTAACCACGTAAAATCGCTCATTATGAAGTACCTTCTGACTCTCGCTCTGGCCATCCCCGCCATCTTGGCCACTCCTGCACCAGTCCCTGATGCAACTGCGAGCAGAGAGGTGCAAGCCTGCGCTTGTATCAACGCGAAAGGTGAAATCACGGTGAACGGCTACTGCGGGTACATTCGCGGCCGCGGCGAACATGTTGACGGTGGGGAGCTTGTAAGTAATTCTGACAAATTCTGTCTTGTTGCCCCTGCAATGGTTTGTTTTTCTAACGTCACGGTGCTTAGTGCTACCCTAGCGATAAGTATTCAGACTATATGCTGGAGTACTTTACTGCCGACTTCTGCAAGAGCTACTATTTAGGCTACAACGACCATGTGTGCAAAACTAAGACTGTGTGCCCGCTTATTGGAGACTATTGGGTTCCCTGTTAAGTTCTTTAGCCTTGGTGGAAGGCAAAGACGCCTCATGTTAATTTCTATAGATATGTTAAACCTGTATCTTTAGTGTATCTATCTCAAAGCTTGAGCTCGAGGCCTTAATGGACATTCTCTTATTACATGCATGCAGCCTTATTTAATTGCGTCTCATTGCGTTGACAAACTGCATATTTGTCCAATGCCTTCTAAAGCGATGAAGATATATGGCCAAACTAGCCCATGAGAAGCATCGGAGGTTCCGGTTCCGTAGTCTTGCTGAAGAACATCCCCATACACAAACTCAACCTAAACTGGCAATCTCTTCCAACTTCAGCACTTACTTCAATACCTCCGCCAGACAAAATAACACTACCCAATGTCGCAGCCAAAGGCCAAGGTGAGAATGATCAGATAGCTGCTGCTACTCAACGCAAGCCTCCCCCCCCCCGCGCAGACGCAACCCTCCTGTTCTTTGTCAGAGTGAGTTTCAGAAGCTGGGAATGATCCCTCAGCGCGATGTCTATCTACCAGCCTGCCGGAGACGCAAGGTCAAGGTACTTAGTAATCAATTTACTATAAAGCCAGTCTGAGGAGTGGCGGCTAATACTACAGCAACAGTGCGAAGGAGCGCGGCAAAAATGTCGTCAATGTGAAAAGGCATCGATTGAATGCGTCCAAGACGGGCCAGCTGGCCTTAAACGCCGACAAGGCCGCTCCCCGGAAGCAATTATGGAGTCAATTAGTGGTAATTTATCCACGAATGTTAGCCAGTCGATACATGCCGCTATTGGGGGCACCATGACTTAACATACAGTGAGTTCACAGTGAGCCTGAAACAGTCTGTGTAGATGCTTACTTTATCAATTATTTGATTTCATACAGCCATCATTGATCTGTTCCGACCCTTCGAACACGAGTTTCCCCCGTGAAATTACCCTGTCTTCGCAGAAGTAAACGCCACGCGGAAAGCCGCCATATCAACTTCTATTGAACAACTAAAACGTCTTATCTATCAGTATCGTGCAAATTGCGAGTCATCCAAGTACTCCATCATGTGGCAAAACGGCATGCTTAACCTTGTCAGCCACATACTACGAGATTTATCCAGTAATTACTCACAGTTCTACTTTCTACTCTGCATGCGCGGCTATTAGTATCTGGCCCGCTACATGCCTTTTGTTAGCGGCATAGTGCAGAGTCTGATAGTCATGACAAACCGACAGGGGGTTTCTCTGATGGCCAACACGCAGCGGCTACTGGAGGATGTTCGGGATGAGAGTCAGGGGAGCTGAGAGTTTTTTAGTGCTTATCCGGTTGATCTTGAGATGGTGGCCAAGGATCCTTCTTCTGTAACGTTGGAGAAACTTACTAGCCGCTTCGAAGAGGAACCCTCGGGGGCGACCCAGCACGAGGGATCTGAAAGTGAAACTTTGCCAGATGTCTGGAAGGGTTCTGTCCAGGATGTGACAACCACGCTGTCTGTGCTGAAAGATGATTGAAAGGAGATAACAGCCTCAATCAAAGTATAAAATTTTTTATCTCAGGCGGTTACTCTTGATGCCCATCAGAATTTGATGTAACTGGTGATGTGCCGACATCTAGTGATTGCCCATGTCCTTGAACATTCCTGTGAGATTGTATTCTAAGATTCGATAACACGGTACTGTCAGATCTATGCTGAACTCGTTTCTCTCGTCTCGCAAGAACTACAAAGAAAGTAGTTCATACCGTTCGGACCGATCCCCTCTTCTATTCCTTTTGCCGTCTTGTCCCATTTTCCTCTACGGCGCTTACGTTCTATTATATCGTGCCTAGCCTCAGCCAACCTTTTTTCACACCATTCCGCATCTTCAGAATCCTCAATCGACGTACTGAAAGGTTCAGGTAGTAGTTTTCTGTGACAGTACCTCTGAAAGATGGGCAGATCCGTGCTGGATATGTCCAGAAAGTACTCATCAACACCTAGCTTGACGGGCCTTACAGTCTGAGGGAAAGCCTTTAAATCGAGGTCCTCTTCAAAGCCACGACGATTGAAAGCCGCACAATTCTGAGCCAATTGTTCTAAAAATATCTGAATCAGAATGGACATACTGATTTCCACGTATACGGCCGTGTCTCGTCGTTGGTGGCGTTTGCAGCTGATAAAGTCCGGGGTATTCACCCAATAATTCCTCAGGTATAATATAAGAAGCAGATGATCTCCAAAGCATAGTGACCGCCGGAAATCCCTAATCATTTTAAGTATAGCGTTGGTTCTGTGGGCGTCCCACGAGTATGAATTGGGGTTATTGCTTTCCGAAACGTGAACAGTATTGATGAGAGAGATGAGAAAGTATGCTATGCTCGCCTTGACCAAAGTATAGTTACTTAGATAAAGTCCCTTCGGAAGTGACATAAAACATTTATTAGCAGACAGAAAAATCAAAAGAATGCGTTCTATAAGGCGTTGTCTTCCAGCCAATTCGAAATCGGTACATTGTCGTTCGCCTGATAGAAGGCAAGCTGTGATTGTTTTTTGCAATAATTCGAATTGTCTTGCATTCTCCCATTCAATGATATCATCTCTTAGATAAATGTCGAATCCCAGTGGAGCAATGCGCAGCAGGTAGTCCAATCTGCATTTTGGTACGCTCTCGTTTGCAATTTTGTGTGATTGCGGTGGGAAATTCTTAGTTGTTTGAACAAAAGAAGCCCATACAAGATCTAACATTTCGACTAGTACCGAATCATGAATAATGCCGGCATGAAGGGAGAGTCTCTGGAGTTGCATAGTTAGGCGACGCCCTGCAAAAAGCCAACTGTGATCGTCCTCGTTAAAGTTCTCCTCGACCCCGGTCCCATAGAAGTCAACTTTGGGGCATATATAATCTCGAAGAAGGCACGATCTAAATTTTCTGACGAACAGCTCGACTTGGGACGCCTTATGGTGCTCCATAAGCTTCTCTCCATCCTCTGTTTCGATCAGGAAGTCGAAGACCGTTCGATGAATAGGCTCTACCTTCAGGCTGTCATAACGAAGAACACGATAGTGTGAGTTGCTTGCTGAGACCATTTCAGATGGTCCATGGTACTCTCTAATTTCAAAGAGGTCGGCGGTTCTGACTGGCAACCTGGTGAATAGTTCATGGCATCGATGCTCGAGATCTACGGCAGAGAGCATATCAAAGTGGTTGACAGTCGTAGACCACAGATCCTCATTTGACACCAACATCAGCTCTAAGATAGATGACTCATATCTCAGGGTTCGTAGTAAAAAGCCAGATGAGGCCTTTTGGTGTGATTCCCATGTGAAAAGGAGACTCTTGAAAATTAGTGCTGTCGAAGACTGATAAAGATCGGAGTCTTCTCCCAACCTTGTCCACATATCTAGGTATAGCCCGTAAAGCTTCTTGGGAGTCTTTGAAAGCCTTTTGTGGATATCATCCTCTGAGTCACCATTCGAGATACCACGAGCAATTGACCTTGTTACTAGAACAGCCCAAAGGAATACACCTTCTGCCTTATCACTAATAGCACTCACAACAGCTTCTACATCGATCGGAGAGGAGGCCAGTGCTATCTCCTTATGTAGGATAGCCTTCGAATAGGAACGGATATCATTGAGGGTTAAACTCTCCATTTTTAGGTCTGGCTCGTCTGACAATCGCATTCGAATTGCATGTTCTGGACGGCTTGACATGCAAATTTTCAACAGCTTTGATGATTTCCGTAGACTATCGAGAAAGTCGATCAGAATGCCCACACCATCACCATCCATGAGCTCGTCAAGTCCGTCGATGAAAAGACAGAAAGGCCGAGCGGGCGGCCTTGTGTGACTTTGTAGTACGGATTTGAGGTCCTCCTTGTCCCAATCGCCAGGGTTAGTCTTACGAGACCAATCGGGGTTCTGTTGGAGACAGCCCAGAGAACGTTCTCTATCTGAAGAGAACAATTGGTAGACGAGAGAACACAAGAAGCCCTTGAAACTACTTTGCATAGGACTGCCGACCTTCCAAAAGAAGTGTGTCAGGATCTGGACTTGAGGTTGCCATTGCCGGAGTAAATCCATTGTTTGCTTGTGGGAGACGATAAATTTCATGAGCACACTCTTTCCTGTTCCGGGCCTGCCGCTGATCCAGTAACGGTCTTCTGTCGATTTAAGCCATCTGAAAAAGCTACTACAGACCAGTTCTTCGGAATTGGGGTGTGACGCATTGAAAAGCGGTGAATTTGGATGATTGTCTTTAAGCTCTCCCTCGAATAGCCATCTGAAGGTCGATCCATGGGAGACCTGTACCTCGGTTCTCCGACTATTCATGTCTGGGTAATAGAAGCTCTGCAAGAGTCGCTCATAAGCCTCATTATCTCTTCGGCTATTTTCTCTGGCTTCAGCTTCTGTCAAAATGGTGTCCTTTCCATGCTCTGTGTGTGACTTGAGCCTCGACTCATGACTAGCGAGCTCTGTTGTGACATGAGTCTTGGTAGATACTTCAGCTTGATCAATACGGTCTGATATCTGCGTGTTGACAAGGGCTACTTGTGTCTGAATAAGGTCATGGAGTTTCTTTTCGCTAGTGGATGTTGCCTGAAGCAGGTCCCGAAACTTATCGTGGAGGTCATTGGCTTGCACCTTGGAGACGTCAAGGCTTTTGAAGATCCCGACGAGCAGAATCGTCTCTAGAGAATCCTTGGCTTTCTGCAATTGGCTTTCCAAGCGATCGATTTCCGGCTTATTGATAATGCCACGAAAAATTGCGCCAAGACGATCCCGCTTTCGAGGTTGTTGTTGGGAAAGTAATCGAGCTGGGGTTTTCTTCCTCCATTCAGCTTCCGCATCACAACAATTGCGAGCTAGAGCCAGGAGTCGCGAGTCATCGAGATTAAGAGGCTGCTGGGAGTTCTCCAGTGACTGGCTCAAGCTTGAAGCGGTGACTGCGAGATTCTCAGCGTAGACGCTGAGCTCAGGGTCCGGTTCGCCTGTGCGATAGGCATTCTTGCAGAGCGTGGCTGTTTTCAGCCCGACTTCGACTAGTTGAACGATGTTGCACACAAGCCCCAAGGCCACGAGTGGCTCGAGGCCTGACATTGTGCGAGACAGAGCTTAATCCGCTGCAGTAGACCAGATGCTGAGAGTCGAAAGTCAATCTGCGCCGACCTCTGATTTCGAGTTGAGGCCTCAGGTGAAAGCCTCGTTGGGCTGACTTACCCCGCAAGCCACAATACTACCCAATGTCGTACAAATATGGCAATGCCCAACAAGCAAAGAAGCAAATTACAATGACAACAATTGTCCCCGATAAATGAATGCCGTGCTGGTTTAGAGTCACTAAAGCGGGATTCTCGCAAGGTTGGTGCTATGCATTAACCGACGGACCCGTATGAGACGCTAACTAATGCTACCTTAAATCCCGACCGCCGACGATGCGCTACTAGAATCGCCAATGCTAGAAATCGGCACTGGCGCATCAGCTTTCTCAAGGCTTGATGTCCACCTAATGGTATTGCCGCTTTTCATGGATGATGAAGCATGTCCATCTTGAACAGGCCAATCAACAAGCGTGATTCATTGTCGCAAAGGGCATAACTCGGCCGCTTGTAGCGCCATCGTTTCAGTTGACTCAACTCTTGACTCATCCATTCTTCAATGCTACCATCCATTGGCAGTATCAAAATGTATAATGCCACAGGCGAATAAATGAAAATTGTACCCCAAATGGGGTTTTCGTCTCTAAGGATGACACAGAGAAAATGCTGACCTAATTGCATGAGTGAACCTCATAGGGCTGACCACTGCATCCATGCAACCTGCGACGTCTGCCTAATCCAGGCTGAAAGGCAGCACTCTTTTTTTCAACCCCCATCATCCTCCCCTTCAAAACCCATCAAAATTCCACCGTATTCCATCAATTTCTCAGAGCTTTTGTATCAAATCATCGCCAAAATGTCACAGGAGCGTCGAGGTTCTATTGCCGACGACTGGCTCGAAGTCGAGAGCGCTGCATCCGTCATTTCGATGGATTCACGGCCATCGTCACCATCCCAGTCCCCTCCCCCGCAAGAGACCCCTGCACCAGCAACGCAGGTCGTCGAGCCATCCCACGCTGGCCCATCAAATTCCACATCACACTCTCAACTCGCATTGCGTCCGAAAGATAACACCCTCCCGCCGCCCAATGCCATTGAGGCACTCCACTCACTCCCCGTGCCAAAACCCCGAAGAATCTATTGCGAGGAACTGCCGCCGTTGCGCCTAAGAGATAACACTGTTGAGAGCTTCCCAGAATACAAGGAGCTGCAGCTGCAGCCTGAGACGCCATGCCATGAGCAAACCGCAGACGTAAAAACAAATGCAAACGATAATTCGCCCTCATACCCAAATCCCAGGGATTATCACGAGGCCTGCCAAGCCGCGACTGCTTCCCTCCATGCCGTTGCCAAACTTGCAAAGGACATCGGAGGAAATGAAATCTCTACAATGAGCTTGATTAGCTTGACGTGCAAGCAGCTCTGCACGCAAACAAAAGACCTTGGCAAGATGCTCGAGGTCTACGCTCAGCATTGGCTGTCCAAGGGCTCCAGTATGGCCTTGATAGACATTCCACTGAACCCCGATACATGGGAAGCCCTGGCGGAGCTGAGAGAATTCGTTCTGGAAACGCAGGAGAATCTTTCGCGTGTTGCTCCGCCAGCAGATCTTGGCAGGCGTTTGACAGCGGCAGATATTCCGCTGCATATCAATGTGGATCTAGCTCATGGTCTCGAGGCGCTGGAAGAGACTCGAGATCTGTTTACAGAATTTTTACCCATTCTGAAAGCGTGAGTCAAATCCCCTCTACTCTATGTACTTGTCTTCTGAAGCTGACGGACGTGCTCAAGGGACTTTGACGAGTTTAGAACCAAGCACATGGGCTTTCCACCAGCAGTGGCACCCGATCGACCCGACAAAAAGCCATCCCAACGACCGAACCCCAAGGTCCGCCAAATCCGCGACGAACTGTACACCATGAAGGACCACTTCGTCATGATAAACGTCTTTTTCTCAAGACTAAAGAACTTCTCCACGTGGCCAAATGTTGCAGATCCTCTGGTCTTCAAGTCCCTCAAGCGCATCATCACCGCCATCTCAAAAGTGCTGACCAATAACCCCACAGACTGGATCGAGTCAGACATGGAGTCGTCTTCAACCAAGACCATGTCGTATGCTCAATTCCTCACGCTGGATCCTGATGTCTTGAGCCATATCTCGTCGCATTTGCAGGATTTTCAAGATGAGCTTGGTGTTGATGCTAAACCTGGAGAAGATGGATGTGACTTTTCGGAGAAGATGATTAATAACCATCAGGAGTTTATGCTGTTGGAGGGTGGGAAGTTACAACAGCTTCGTTCGGTGATCGAGTTTACGGAGAGCATCTTGATGACGCAGGACCAAGATAAGATGGTGTTCTGAAGAAGAAAAAAACATGATTGGAGTTTGGATGCTTTTACGAAAATTACTCAATGAATTGTTCTGTTATTGTTACCAGGCTGACAAAAATACACGTCACGTCATTGGTTTTATACGCGATGGAGGTTCTTATCGTGCATGGATTAGGCTAAATTGACGCCTTCGTTTGGTGGATTTATTTGTTTCAGGGACTCCGGGTATACGGCAACGGGAATGAAATAAGCAGCTGGAAATCGCTTCAGACCACGCCGAATCTGGAAGTCGAGTAAGGACCCTTTGTTTGACTCATGTGTCTGCCTGACCAGGCATCTGCATTTATTTAGGTTGCTGGATTTCTTACGTTGCGATGTTACGCAGACCGCGGAGAAAGTGGAGAAGAGAGAATACTATGAATAGATTGGCTAGCGCAACGGAATTGACCTTCACTTTCTTCACAAACTACTCGATTCACTCTTCTCAACTTCAAATTAAACAGTTCAACAATGGCTTCTTCAGAGACACCCACCCCATCGGAGTTGAGTCCTGAGGACTTGGCTACCCGAGGACGCGAAGTGATTGGCCTTTCTATCTATAAAGACACCAACGATGACATCAACATGGACAGAGTACATGCACTGCTGGCTGAAATGAACTCAGATGTTCCTCAAGGCGGAACAGACATTGTTTACGGAGAAAGAGAAGCGCAGCGCCTGCGTCTTTGGAAACCTACTTCAAGCGCCACCAAGGCCCCTGTCATCGTGTACGTCCACGGTGGAAGTTGGACAATCGGAACGTATCTCGACTCAACTGGCTCAAAGAAAGTCAGTCACTTGAACGACCTTGGCTACGCCTTTGCGTCGATCAACTACACGCTCATCCCCAAGATCACTGTCAAGGAGCAGGTGCAAGAGATTGCTGATTCAGTAGCATACCTGATCAAGCATTCTGAAAACCTCAACATTGATCCAGAGAGTGTAGTTCTCATGGGCCACAGTTCAGGAGGACACGTCGTAACTCTCCTCGGCACCGACCCAAGCTACGCCCAAAAAGCCAACTTCGACATCTCCATCATAAAAGGCGTCATCGCTCTCGACGGCTCAAACTACAACGCCCTAGCAGAATTCTCCGACAGCGCCGGCCCCATAATCACAAACATGATCAAAGGACTAAGCGATGACCCGGAGAGATTGCAGGGCATGTCGCCGACGCATCACGCAGCTGCACCGAACGCGGGGGCGTTTCTGCTGCTGCATGTTCAGAGGAAGGGGGGCATTCGGCAGGCGGCTGAGTTGGCTGTGGCGTTGAAGGCGGCGGGGACGAGGGCGGAGTTGCGTGTTTTTGAGGGCGAGGGGTTTGAGGGGCATGTGAAGATGTTGTTGAGGCTGGGGGATGGGGAGTACCCTGCGACGGGGGTGATGAAGGATTGGTTGAAGAAATATGTTCCAGTATAGATGATGTTGTCAGTGAGGTTGATAGAAATACTGCTTTGTACGAGCAACGTCACCGCAAATGTGGTTTGAGAGATTTTCCCCATGTGATGTCTCATTGATCATTTATCAGATCACAAGTATTGTGTATCAAGGCAGTCTAGGTGCCAAATCAAGCCTAAATAGCCTACCAGGCCATACATCCCCGTTTATTTTACGGTACTCAAAGTCTGCTACTGGACTGAAGCCAGCGCTTTCGTAGTACTTGACTAGTTTGTCCGTACCTCCGGTCCAGCAATCGAGGAAAATGGCTTGTTTCCCGTGTTCATACGCGTAGGTCTTGACACGCTCTAATAATGCCAACCCAACGCCTTTGCGCTTAGCTGATGGTACGCGATGATCTGCGACAAGAAAGTCTAGAAAAACAAAACCACCATGTTTTTCGGCAGCGGCTATATGAGGCTCCAGAACAGCAACAGAGCGTATATGGCTTGCAAATTCGTCGTCGAGAATCATCGCAGCGCCCACTGAGACGAAGGCTTTGCCCGTATGATCCTTCCGGCAGTGCAGGTCAACGACATCATTGTCAGAGTGTGTCCCCTCAATCTCTGCGATGAAAACTCGTCGCCGCTGGCCTTGGCCGCTTAGTCGGAAGACTTCTGATTGTGCGATATCGTCCCGGGTACCTCCCAAGAAGCCGTCTCTTTGGGAGAACGGTGTTGTTCCCCACTGGCCTGCATTGCCAGTCTTGTTGAGAAATGGTAGAGAGGAGTCGAAGGCTGTTGTGATGAAGTTGGCATCCTCGTGAACTGACCTTGCATCACGGATTTGGAACATGAGAATGATGGATTGTAGATTTTAGCTCTGGATTTTAAAAGGTTGGTGCAATGGCAATCTCTCAAGGAATGAATATGTCAAGGTGGTCTTAAGACAGCAAACAGGGTTAGTTGTATCTCTTGCGAGATTTAACGTCCGAACGCTTCTGTATAGGGTGTTTGAAAGTGTGGCGCAGGCTGTGGCTGTGATCAGACCTTAAGCCTCAACTCAGACGCGTCGCGTGTGCGTTCAGGCTCTCAACGCAGCCAATCTCAACACACTCACAGCCCAGCATGCCACCCCGAAAAAGAAGTGCACCTATCGCCGACGCCTCAGAAGAAGCTGCGCCCAAGCGTAGGTCTCTTCGGCAAGCTGCCAAAGGAAATCCTGACCCTGAAGCGCCTCCCGCAGCCAAAGCCAGCCCGCCAAAGAAGGCTGCCAAAGCGAAGAAGCAAGAGAAGCCCAAAGCACCAGCAAAGACTGAAGAGCCCGAAGCGCCCAAGGCGACGAAGGCGGCCAAGAAACAGGAACCTCCTCAGTCTGGCTCTCGTGGCGTCTCTGAAGATCCAGATATTGACTCGATCCCGACGATCAATCCTGAAGCCCCAAAGCACGATGGCCAGTGGTACTGGCTCATGAAAGCTGAGCCTGAGACTCGTATTGAGAATGGTGTTGATGTCAAATTTTCTATTGATGACTTAAAGGCAAAGACAGAGCCTGAAGGATGGGATGGTATGTTTTCATTTGCTTCGAGGGATCTCACATACTGACTTGATACAGGCATTCGAGCGTACGCTGGTATGAACCCTTGCTCAGTGGGTGTTCTAGAATGAGACTGACCTTTCGCAGCTCGGAACAACATGAGGAACATGAACACCGGTGATCTCGCTTTCTTCTACGCCAGCAACTGCAAAGAACCCGGCATCGTCGGCGTAATGGAAATTGTCAAAGAATTCTCCGAAGACAGCAAGTATCCCTTCTCCGCCAACGCACGTCCCTCATCTAACATCATCAGGATCCGCTCGCCGACCAGGCGCGCCATACTACGATCCCAAATCCACAAAAGAGAAACCCATCTGGGACCTGGTCCACGTCGAGTTTAGGAAGAAATTTGCAGTGCCTATTGGTCTGAAGGAACTTCGTGAGCTTGGGAAGCCTGGTGGGCCTCTGGAGATGATGCAGTTGCTTAAGCAGTCGAGACTGAGTGTGAGTAAAGTTAGTGGTGAGGAGTGGAGATTTTTGTGTGAGCTTGCGGATGAGAAGGCGAAGGATGCTGGGTTGAAGCATGGCGAGGGTGAGAAGTAACGCTGTTACGGCGGAAGGATGCGACTTAAGATGAAGAACCTTTGTGCCGCGAATTAGGTCGCAAATAATTGATGTACAATACAGTTTTAGCAATACGTATGATACCTGAGACACCTTGCTACATGCTTCCCGGAAAACTACCCAAGTACGCACTAGCGGCCACTCTTGGCTCTTTCCCCGTGCTCAGCTGCCCCGGCCTTGAAGTTCTCTGCATCAGGCGACAGCTCGGTGTGAGAAACTGATGTGTTGGCATGCGTCAAAGTGCAAAATACACAACGCCTCTGCGGTAATGGTCGAATTTGATACATTACATGAAAATGAGACAGTCATGTGCCCATGTGCACGAGAAAAGTGCGAATGACGTGGCACAGTCTGCGTGTTATCACAACTGGTTGGTTGCCTGACTCTGCTGTCCCAAGGATAAAGCGTAGTAGAGAGTAAATGACCGTCCACCGAATTGCCGTTTGGAAGCAGTTCTTAACGAGCAAACATTGCTTCAAGTTAACACAGATGGAACACTATAGTGAAGGCTCTGGGAGTTTGGTTCGCGAATTACTGCCTCACAATGCGGGGCAGAAAGATACTGGTGACCAACGCCTCCTACCCACGGCCACGGGGGAGCCTCGCCTGCATAATGGCGAGTTTGCATTCTAGGACATTCTATTGCATCCGAGGATGGCGGTGCATATTGTTATTATGTATATATGTATCATGATTTGGCTCTTTAATCAAGCATTAGCGATTGCATGTGACGTAATTCACGTTGTGGGCTGAATTGGAGTCCTTCATGGCGCTTATGTGCCATTTCTCATTGGCAGATGCATCGATTCAGGCCAACGCAGCGTTGGCAAGGCAGAATCCACAAGATATGCACATAAAGTGAAGTCCTGAACCTCGAGCGCTACCACTTCTTCCTTCATTACTCCTACAAAGACACCCTGAGTTCCCGCTCTGCGATGGCTGAAGTCGTTGGTTTCGTCTCCGCCGGAATCGGCGTGGCTGCCTTTGCCCTTCAAGTTTCGAGTGGTATACGCGCGCTACGTCAGTTGCAATTGAAGCCGGAAGAGGCACACAGGGAGGTGACGATTCTTATCGAGAAACTCACAGTTCTTCACCAAGTTGTATCCTCTCTAAAGGTTTGGGAGCAATACCAACCTGTTGACGAAATAATCAGCCATGTACAACGGCGATACGAGGATATTGAACCGATTCTGCGAGATCTTAGTGAGAAGTACCAGATCCCAGGAGTGAAACATCGACGTAATTGGAAACGGGTGCGGTCATTTCTCTCTGAGCATCCGAAAGAGCAAATAAGGGGCGTAAGAGAAAATATAAATGATATCATTATGATTCTGAATTTGTATATTTATATACGTTGCATTTGCGCTATATATGCTAATTACATTCTGCACAGGGCGCTAATGGCTGCACAATGTCGGGCCCTAAGCATCCATCACGCTGCTTCGGTACCCGAGGAATCCTCTCGCTCGTCGTTAGTACAGGAGGAAGACCCTGGTTATGGAGGGCGTAAGAGGATCACAGATCTATCAGAAGCGTTTTCAAATGCAGCCGTTGAAAAAAAACGAGAGCCACAGCCAGCATATCGCAATACGCCATCTCTGGCAAGTTCATGTTCACGGGTTTCCGGCGCGCGAAAGTATGACTGCTCATGCCACCAAGCCCGCATTGCCCGGCGCTTCTTCTTTCTGCAATATACACCACTCTCAAGCTTCCTTGGAAAGCTAAGTGGCAGAGCTCCAGGATGTACTTGTATTGGCTTGCGCTTACGACTAGCCTTGTCAAAATACGGCGTCCCGAGAGCCATAGTTGTTGGAATCGGATTTATGGTTGATGAGACAGGATTCGAACTTCTACCTACCCTCAGAACTGAAGTAATTGTAAATTACACATCCCCAGGTTTTGAGACTATATGGCGTCTCCAGAAATGTTCGATCTCGCTTGATGAAGCCCGAGAGAGATTCATTAAACTATATCAATCCGATGAGTCTTTCAGGAATCACAAGGATCCTGCGGGAAACACCTATATTCATGTGAGCTACAAAGCATCTAGATTAATTTGTTTGGACTCTAATTGTTGTTAGACCCTTTTGCGTGTACCATGGAATTGGAGACAAGACGACCAGTTTGGTCTGTTGCATACACTCGTCACTGAGTGCGGAATGACACTTGCAGAAGAGACTCAAAGGTGACTGAACTCTCCTTCAAACTTTCCGTGATCTAAAGTATTTATTTATAGCTTTCTTGTTCGGTGTGCCAATTGGATCGGCGAAGGGCGTCATCTTACTCTCCTTGAGGCTATCTTGTCATATGGATATGACGCAACCGCCATTCACGCATCCCCTTTCGAGGAATGGCCTTCTCCATGTTCAACAGACTGGTATGGCGGTGGGAGTACTCCAGATCCATTCTTCGTGGAATACATCGGGACCATCCTGAAATATAGCCCTAGTAAGCCTTCCTTTTCAAAGCTCATCCATTATTTAGTCAACAGAATCTCACAATACCAGATTACTCAGGGTCAACAAACCTACACAATGTCCTTCTAAACGGACCTGTTGATTGCGCAGCGGATTGGCTGCATCGATCACAACCACTAGAGGCAAATCGCAACTTCTTAGGACAAACGCCCTTGCATATCGCGACTACGTGTCCAAAATTATGTCAGATCGTCTTAGAAGCAGGACATGACATGAACGTAATGGATAAGTATGGAACGACACCGCTGATGTATGCTGCAGCCATGGGTCAGACAGAAGTCACGAAGCTACTGCTTTCAAGAGGGGCAAGTCCAGCGTTGAGAGACTCGAGACTGAATTGGATGTTTCTCGATTACGCCGTGTTTTGTGAGCAATGGCACCTAGTCTTGGAAGCTCTTTCGATTATTCAGACCAAAGTCGACTCTCACGTATTCCAAACATATGTTCGTTGCGCTATTATGAGCACTCTTGGTTACGAGAGCGCTTTGATAGAGCAGATCAATTTTCTCCAAAAGTTGATCGAACTTTGCGACGACGTAAACTTCACATTTGGAGATCGTGGCATCAAAGACAATAACATGATGCACTATGCTCGCACCCTGGAAATTGCATCGACACTTGTCCGATGTGGCTTCAACAGCTTCAATCAAAGGAACAGCGAGGGAAAACTAGCAATCAACTCATTATCCAAATACGGCAACGCCCCTCTCATCCGTTTCTGCCTTGAAAATGGCACGAATGCAACTGACGTGAGCCAAGATGGGCGATCTATTCTTTTCGAACTTCTTCCAAGGCTCTCGTCGTTTGACTGGCTAACTTGGGACGTCATTGACGGAATTAAACTTTGCCTAAGCGCAGGCGCTGATCCATTTGCGGCGGATGATTGCATATGCCCATGTTCTCCTGACGGCTGCCATATAACCTCAAAATTCGGGCTAGAATTCAGTCCTTACCAGTGCTTCAGTGGCACAGTTGACCCAGTGTGGGTTCTCGAATTAATTACCCTCGTTGAGGAGCATCGAGGTCTTCGAGCCGCACGAAGGCTACTCCTGTCACTACATCGAAGAATTCGTTGCGACCGGACCGACATCTCAATAGCCCATGTCTGCTGCCATAGAGGCCATGGGATCAAAGAGCTTGGCTATTTGGATCGATGTCTTCAAACTGAAGATATTGATGATATTCTAGATGAAGAACAGCACTTCATTGGTATCCTAGATACGGAAATGAGGGAACTTTCTTCATTTACCTTTTCAAAGTTGCTGACTGAGTTCATCACTCATCTCAAAGGTAAATACAATACCCTCCTTGAAGATACGAAAAAGGAAAAAGAAAATATCTTAGCAGAGTCCAAATCAATAGGCTTGGTAAGCGATAATTAATTACTTTGCACTGTCTGTGTCAAATACTTTCAAAGTTTCTAACAAAAAGAGATAGACTTATGAAGTTGATTACAGAGCTGACACGTACCAAGTTTACTCGATGGCATCCGCAGGCTTGTCAGAGAACCTGGTCACTCGTTCAATGGCACAATATGCGTTCTGGCTCCAGCATGAGTGTTCGAGGACAGACAAAGTGCTTCTTTCTGAGGTTAGCCAAGCCGACTGGCTCAGTAAACGGATTTCTTGGTTTCTTGAGTTGATGAAAGCAATGGAGGTACCGGTGGAGACGTTGGAGAAGGAAATGAGGAGGATATCTGTTAAAGAATCGCGTATACAATTGATCAATAGTGACGAAACAGTTAAGGGCTTTATAGATATACTACAGAATGCATCTCTTAGTTAAATATTATAGAATATAGCATTAAAGAGGATAATGAGATATTACTAGCTTATTAAAGCAGGAGATCGGTTAATTATCTACTTAAAAGCCTTTATAATAGGGGTTAGTAGTTTTTATATAGATAAGCAGACTTTACAGCTAATTAACTTATAACAGTAAGATCTTAAGGGCTATTATAATATAAGATAAGGATGTAAAATATTAGTATCTTTATAGTAATAACTTAAAAGCAAAAAGCAGTTAAAGGAGCGCTAGCAGTAGATAAAAGCAGAAAAGACTTATAGTTATCTCTTATAGTAATTAAAGCTCTACTATAGGTATATAGAGTGGTTTTTTTTTCTTCTTTTTTTTTTTTAAAAAGATGCTGGGTTGAAACGTGATGAGGGTAAGAAGTAATGGTTTTTCGGGTAATAGAAGATAACTACCGGCAAGCGAGCCAGCGCGTCTTGTAATCAAGGAGATTTGTGCTACGATTAATTGGTGAACAATTATATGTATATTACAACTATTAGTTGTTATCTTTGGAATTGTATATTGATGAAGTCCTTTAGAACAGGAGACCATAAACGCAAGACACGAGACATAGGGTACTTCAGAAGGCGACAATTAAACATCACAGCCTTCAATTTGAAGACTCACGGATTGATCCCCTAAAAGGGTACACGTATTCCTGACCAGGCCCTCCATCTGTGACTCGGCACTTCTTTCAGTAATCCCAGATGTGAAGGCCTTTGCTGCCGACCTCTGTTGGATGAACTGCTCCGAAGTAGCTACACACTGGATCCCTGTTCAATATCCTGGGCTAGCTTGACCCGGGCTTTAGGAAGAATCAGCCGCTTCGTGGTTGCTATGCCCGTCCAAGATTTGCTTCTGATAGTTGGCTACCTGGGAGGCGCGCTGATCGTCGGAGAGGGTGGCGGAGCTAGTGAGAACCACACGGTAGGCGTTGTCATCGAGCATGATAGCAGCAGAACGAACGATGCATGTCCCTATGACGGCTTTATTGAATCCACTTGACGCAAAACGATAGCAAAAGAAAAATGCGTCAAGGCGATTGAGTTCACCGAGCTCATCAAAGGCAACTTCACTAGAGGTCGATTAATGTGCCTGTGTTTACTACGGTCTCATGATGTTGACTTACTAAATCTTTTCCGTCTGTGCTGAACCAGAAGCAGACCCAAACAGCTTGTTCAACAACGAGCCAGCCACATTGCCAAGACCTTTCATCACCTTACTGTCAGCAAGGTTCACGATGAGGTCCTTGGCAAACTTGCCAATGTCTGAGCTCCCGCCAGTGAAGACATCAATGGAAGTGCGGCGACTGATGATGTGGCTTATCTTAAGCAACTTGTGATCATTGCTATTTCTTCTGTAATAATGTCAGAAGAAGTAGAGTGTTCATACTTGATGCCATACTCAATGTCGTTGAGGAAGTTCTCAATCTTTTCCTGCGCCCACTGTGAGGCAATCTCAATGGCTTCCCCCTCAAAAGCATTACGATCAGCCGTCCCTGCAACACTCATGGCAGCTTGTGCCGTGTCAGACATGGTGTTCAATTGCACTGTTGAGAAAAGTAGCTAAGATAAAAGGGCTGGATTGAATGACAAGTGAGGGTTTTTTGGTACCAAAGACAGGTTATATATAATGGTCTGAGATTGGCTTAGTACCTTTTCTAGTCTCCGTTCAGCTCGCCACAGACAAAGCTCTAGGCCATATTTTCCATGTGAAGCTCAATCTAGTTAGGCTAGACAAGGGTGATGGGTGAGGGTGGCGACCTGAAGCGTCAGCTAGCGACTGGCCTAGATTGTCTCTCAACTGATTTCAGCTATATCAGAACGAACTATTTAGTTTCCGCTTTATCACACTTTTGAAAGCAACACGGTATGTAAGTAAAAGTTCAATGATATTTCACCAGTAACTCACCTTATATCGCTTTAGTGCAAGCTGGAGATTCCAAGTCTAACCGAAGCGGTGTTAAAGATAACGTCTCTAGCCCTAGTATTCTATACTTCTTTATTAACAACCATTTAGCCATGCGCTCACCGCAGAAGTATCAAACTTGACATCAAGGTACTCAGCCCTCGAATCAACATTTAGATCCGCTAACTGCACAGCCCTCCCGCTATTACCAACCCCATTGGTAATCTTCCCATGCGGAAGCCAAACCACCTTTGCAGCATTCGGTCCATCATCCGGCCCGCCTCCATTCAACCACAACTACACACTGCCATCTTCCTGCGAGAGAGCAACGTAATCAGATTTCCCGTCGCCGTTGATATCAGCAAAGTGGACGGCCGTATCCAAGGTTGTATTCAGTGCTCGTCGTTCACACTCGTCGGTGGAGTCGAGAAGTTCCTGCGTTAGAGTGGATGGCGTATTGAACTTTTTGTAGTCGCAAGTCTTTGAAACGGGACTGCCGACGCTCTCAGTACCTTGTATTATCATCCCATCTGCCTTTTGAGTACTGCATTTACTTAGTGAGACAAGCCGACTTCACAAACAGATTCGCTCCCAACCCTGCTCCCGTAGCAATCTGCCCCTGCGGTAACCACGTCGGATCATGCTTGCAGGTATTCCTGTTCGGTCCTCCTCCGTCACCAGCGATGGGTGCCTTGATCCAGCCCAAGTGATCCGCTGCCGTAAGTACCTGCCTTTAGGTATAGCCTGGGCTATGATATACAATGGAGGTATATTGTGTTCTTCGGAAGAGTTCTGACCAAGTTCTGAGGTCTGATCACCAAGCACTATTCTTAAGCCATGGACTGGTGTGATCTGCGCCTGTCCGCCGTGTCTGAAGCTTCTGTTTACTCGATAGTTTCTAGCTATCAAAGTGAGCAGGTATCACAAAAAGCAGTTAAGAAGGGCATTATAAACAAGACATGTAGAGCGAAATGAAACTATAGCTTTAACAGGCCACTGTTTAGCGGTGCTGAGCCAACCGTTGGTTAGCCAGGATGGCATTAATCGTAGGGTTTGGCGTTCTTAGTTGACTATAGTCATTGCTGTGGTTTATATTACCATAAGATTCAGAAGTAGTAGTAGTGAATACATAAATCGAGCACTTTAAAGGTTGTACTGGGTGAAGGACTTTAATTATACATACTTGAGGACTGCAGCACGAGCTACATATAGGCGTAGGTTCATGCATCGGAATCGAGGACCGGAAAGTAAATTTATTTCACTATCTGAATTATGGAAACAGCTTGGGATCTAAAGATATTCTTCTTATACCTTATTGAAAGCTGCTGTATCCTCTTTTAGGAAAACCGGCTAATAGACTAGACGTTCTATCATCTTCGCCTGCAGTATGATCTTGCGAAATGGTGTAATGGCTCAGCGCTAAAGAGGGATATGATGTTTTGGCCAGAACAGATCTCGGCAACCTTTGTGGAGAAACCAATGAAGGGGTTGTAGCTTCGACATTTAGAAAAGGATGTAAAAGTGGGCCTGCTGCTTGCATGGATGTACTAAGCAAAGGCATTGAATTAAATCTTGATTGTGGCCTGGCTGTTCTTCTGCTGCATACTCATTGACGGGAAGGCCTTCTCCGGCGGCTGCGTGGGTAATATTTGGATCAGCCCCATTATTGAGGTAGCTGACCAAGACAGCATCCCCAGATGTAGGACGGACCTTATGCCTGAATGTAGATTGAGGCACCTCTGGAGTAGGAGATGAGTATAGAGGATGGAGACCTCTGAGGAGCCTGTCTCGAGAAACAGCGTCATCTGGATCATTTTTATTGACGACAGAGCCGATGTGAGCTTGCAGCGATTGGTGCTGTTCGTGCTTTGTAGCTATGGCCATTAGTGGCTTTCCTGGACGTCGGCTTGTGGCTGGAAGCAATGATATGATTCTTCCAACACGTCGGTTGGAATATTGCTGCATATGACCTTTTCGAGCCATATACATATGCCTAAACCTTTTCGCTGGTGGCGCGACCTTTCCACTGGATTTTCTGGATGCGCGGTGATCCAGAGATGTATCTGCAGCGTAAAAAGGGTCTGTTACTGCGCGGCGGCGAGATCGAGGGCGGCCTAGAAGCTATTAGACAGTTTCGATAAATATAGTTTTGGTTATAGTATACTTCTATCTGGCGGAGTTAAGATATCCTGGTCTATATGAGACTTTGAACGAAGCAAGCCCATGCTGAAGGTCGGAGGCTACAGAAAGCCTCAACGGGCACTTCTGTGTCCGGGTAGCTGGAACGGGCTGTGGTGGGCTTTGGGGAGATGCCCAATCCAAGTTTAGAGGCGTGGCAGGTTCCGAATAGATTTGAACGGCATCAGCTTCGTTCCTTACAAAGTTCCTTGATGTCGCTTCAAATTCTTCTATGTTTCACGCGCCTGGATGCCAAGTTTCATGGACCTCTAGTATTGCTGCATTGAGGGCTGAATTATGAATTGAATAATAAATGGCAGGGGGAGAAGGCAAGAAGCCAATATATTTAATAATACGGCGATGCGCTTTCTTGTGAAAATGTTGGTGAGACAATTAGGTGACGACGGTCTGTCAGGATCTGTCAGACTCTGTTATTTAGGCCTACAGGTCACGTGATTTTAACCAGTCATTTAACGAGTTAAAGTTAGTTAATCTGCTTTAATAAAAATATATTTATAGTTTTATTTTTATCCTTATTATAACTAAAGGTATAATTATATAATAGTTATATAAATTTATTTAAAGATATTACTTAATAAGAGGTTAATAGTATTAAGTAACTTTAATTTAATATAATAGTTTATTTAAAGTTAAAAATATATACTTTTAAATAAGGTAATTATATATTATATAAATAAAATAAAATTTCTTAATAAAATAGATATAATATTAGTTCTATTAAGGTATATATAAATAATTGTCCTTATCTCTACACTAGACTGCCCTTACAGCTCCTTTTAATTATGTTTAAATCCTACTTCCTGTGCCCTCTTCATATTGGCTAGGAGCTCGTGCTTATGAGCTTTTCCTCCTGAAGTATGGTCGTGTGATATTGTGTAATGATTCCTCCTGTCAGTCAGGGACTGTAAGAATAGCTTATGCATTCCAAAGATTCGTAGTTGTGAGATTGCCGAGACTTGGAGGTTGGTTTCAGCCTGCTGGTTCTGGGTGCTCTGTCTCTCCGTCGTCTAGAAACGTCTTTTTTCGGATCCTGGCGATAATGCTTTCTGTGAGTTCTACCATTCTATTAAGGGCAGCGTGGTGGTCCTGACTAGTCTCAGGGAAATCATTGCCCATTGTCCAAAGATCATCTAACAAATCTTCATACTCCGACTTCTCCTCCTTACGCAGTCCTCCCAAACTCCGTGTTTGGTGTGGTTTATATGCAAATGGATGAAATCGCTGAGCTTCCGGCCATCCGCGGACTGTTTGGCATTGCTTGAGTGCCGATCTGGGGTTCTGTGGTCTGAACTCGGGTCTTTCTTCTCAGTGAGAAGTCCTTATACGAGGAAGGTCGACTGTTAGAAGTGTGAAAGATACTTGTTTGGCCACGGTGAGATCTTTTGAAGGAGGGGTATCCTACATAACGCAGCCTGGGCTAGCGCCTACTTTTACGTCCTAACCAACCACCAATCATGGGTTGAATTCATAGGTTGAATAGCAAGCCGACGCAATATGCCTTGCGATGTTTTGCAGCATGACATTACATTTCAAACCCAAAGGCCTCTTACCAAGTAGTAAGTACTCAATCAACCTGATTTACGCTTTCTCTCCAATTTAGCATAATGCAACCCGCAAGCACTACAAAGTGTCCCAGCTCCATCAGGTCCACGTCGCCATTCACTGCTGACACTCCGATTGCAGCTATGGCATCGAGGCGTCAAGGTCGCCAGGGGTCTATCGCCACTCTTGCTGACCCGAGATGTGTCGACACGGAAGAAATGCTGGCTGCCATGACCAAAATTCCCTGGAAGTGATTGTACTGGATGGCGGCGTTCTTTCTTGCGAACCCACTCAAACTTGACTTCATCCCCCGTATCCTTCTCCTCGTTGGGATCAGTTGTAGCGGTTACTTTGGGGAAAGATTTTATCACTATTGTTGTCTTTGAATCGACCGGTCGCCAGTTGATCAAGAAATCCAAGTCGTCTTGAGAAGCCTTTTGCATACCGGACCCTCCGCCTCGAGTTGCTACGTCATTACTGTTTTCTAAACTGGGCAAAGAATTCGGCGACCGATGCAAAATTCCGCGGCCGACTCGGGACATAGAAGGCTTGTCTGTCCGTCGTCTATTCCCAAAGCTGGCTAAGAGGCTTTCCTCATGAGCCTCCTGGCCGGAAGTGTGGTCTTGCGAAATCGTGTAATGGTTGCTCTGAAGTCTGCAATCCAGCAATCTGTCTGTATTGCGGTGAAGCGGGAGGGGTCCATAAGCTTCTGGTGGATGATAGCCCTGTGCTCCTTCTAGTGAGGGTGCTCGCAACAAGTCGTGCGAATAGATATCCCTGTCTTGTTGTTCCACATCAGGCTTCTCGGGGAGTGAATCCAGCACTTTCTTTCTGTTGCGTCGCTTTATGGCAGCTTTGCGCGGTGCATTTTCGGCCACTACCCTTTTAATGTAGGCTTCCTCTTTCTTTTGCTGCTCTTCAGCCTCCATCTCAGCGAGCCTGTCGGCAGGAATGATCTCATCCCAGTTAAGGTTCATATCATCCACTTTGACATCGGTGAAATCCGTGAACTTATCCCAATTGAAGCCAGCTCTGCTAACGCTCGACTTGTCGTCTACCTTGGTCTTGGTGGTTTTGGTACTATTAAGAGCCGAGCGATAGCCAGATTCCCATTTATCTAATAAAAGCTCGCCCGGGGAGGGTAGTTTGGGTTGCTCGATGGCCACGTTGGGTGAGACTGTAGGGGCGTTTGCTCTGGAGGGCTGTAGGGACCTGCCTCTGGTCACCTGCTCCAGCATCTGCAGGCCGTTCGACATCATCAGGCCCGATCTCTGAGGTTCTGTGTCTTGGGTCGGGGCGCAATCCTGATGAAGGATAGTGGTGACGGAGTCTGGTAATGTTGGAAGAGGAACCTGTCCCATCGGTTGTCAGTTGACCCCAAAGCCAGGCTGGCGCTTACGTCTGGCTAATCATTGGCCAAAAGTGAGAATAAGGCACCCAATCACAGTCAAGACGCTCGAGTGAGGCATATTGTTTAATTGGCTACCAAGTCAATACTGGCTTTCATCCAATGCCGAAATGCATATATGGCACGACTACGCGATGTTGGGCGGCTTCTACAGTTTATGATCGCGGAGCAGTCGATCTCACCAATGAGATGTAATTTTAAAGTCTGCTGTAATTGTCAAGAAGCGAAAGAGCCTGATACACAAGAAGATATCCATGAAACTATCGTTCCTTCTGGCCTCTCTTAATCTGATCCGATGTGTATCCTTTATGAAGACGCTTGATATACTCTCCAAACTTCTTCGCCTCAGCCATGACTGACTCAAGGTGCTGATAGCCAAGTTTCTCCTTACGGAAGACAGCAAGCTGCCGTGCGGTTGAAATCATGTTTCGAATCTCACGACCGTTCAGGGGAGCCTCGGCGAGGTCATCAAGCCGATCTCGCATACTCTTGATATCCACACCAAGTCTTGGAGCATCTTGAGGAGTGCTCAAGATGTTGGTGAGGGACGGCTCACTTGCCTGCGCTATGCGCTGGGACCCAAGCTTCTCGAGCCGGTTGATGAAGTTTAGCCAGATCTGGCGCCGCTGGTCTTTCTCCAAATCATTGTATCGTAGACTGAGCTGAATCCGCGATTTGAATGCTTCGTCAAATATGCCAACCCTATTACTCGTGAGGATCATAATTCCTGCGCATTTAGTTAGCCCGAGTCGTCGAATATTAGAGAGTGGATTACACACCGTCGTAGTATTCCAGTACTCTAAGAAACACTAAAAATACTGTCAGCACCAAATAATTCGAGTGTATTGATAGCGTTCTCTTACCTGAGACCAAGGCATTTCGTTCCAGACTATCGAGCTTCCGCTGTTCTAGAAACACGTCCGCTTCATCTAGAAGCACCACTAAAAGAAGTAAGTAAAGCATACGCAAACGAAATGGCTACTCACCGCATCCCCATGTCTTCCCAAGAAGTGACACGACTTCAAGGTACTAAAAGAGTTAGCATACAGAACTAGCTTGTTGATATGGGATATCCATACACGTTCTACTTCTTCAGCTTTGGTACCAACGTCGCCACAGGTCACTCTGTATAGAGGCTTCTTGGCAATCTCAGCAACACTATACTTCTGTTAGTATGACTCACAAATACAATAAACAGGTAAATGGGGTATACCTTTCCGCAGTGAGAGTCTTCCCGGTCCCAGGGCCTCTATATGCGAGGTCAGCTCAGGGATCCAATCCATTATTGATGTAGGCACCTACCCATGAAGTAGTATAAAGAGCCCATTTCCTTTCCCATGGATTACATCCGTATCCCTGTCCTCGTCTAAGTGGTTTGTCACGACAGCTTCAACGAGCTCCTTCGTCTGGCGTTCCATAACTAGTAGGTCGAAAGCCTCCTCGTTCCAAGTGACCTCCTGAAGCAAGTCAACTTCCAACTTGACTAAAAGAATGTCAGCATATTTGTAGATTATATCAGTCAACTTAAGCCTTACCCCAGTCCTTCTTTTGCATGTTAAAACCATAAAGAGATGTCGGAAGGCACATGTAAAATCCATCTCCCAAGTCAGGCACTGGTTCATCCTGGGCCATTACATCAGGTCCGAGGTCATCATGATAGCGGACAGGTGCTTGTTGACCGCTTGTAGAAGGGTGCATCTGTCTGAAAGTTGCTCTATCGATCATGTATCGAGAACCAGAATTCTATGCGCTTGTAAGTAATCATCCCCAGAAATAGTAAATATCAACCTACTGCACCATAAAGATGGTCTTCGGGAGTACCCCGAACACAAACATATTTACGAAAGCGGCATTTCCAAAACATTTTGCCACGCCGTCTCAGGTTCCGAACAGTGCCGTCATCAACATACTTCATCGGGAAGACCATCATGGCATTGATAGGGAACTCCTCTGTCAAAGAGGGCAGACCTGAGATATTAAGAGTCGATTTGAATCGTTGAAAATTGCCATCAAAATCCCAGTAGCTAACCTTGATTAATGCCTGGAAATCGCCTTTGGTTGTTGGACTGCCAAATATAGCAAGCCAACTAGTTGCGGTATATGCTTGCCACTGAGCCACAGATAACCCCTTAAGTTTCGAGATGATGATTTGCCCAGGAGCCTGTGTCAAGTCAGATTTACGAAGCCTGTATGTAAGACGCTAACTAGGACTTACAAAAAGGTACGATAGATACTTGGCTGTAATCTTGCCTTCTCGGATCAGGGAATCGACCTTGGCCCATTCGTCACCAAGATAAAGCTTGAGGTAGTGTTGAAAAGCTTCTACTTGGTTTTTCGATTCATGGCTGAGGTAGGACTTTACTCTCTCGATTCTGTTGCGATGCTGGAACCACCAGAGATATGGATGCTGAGTTTCCTGTGCACGACCGTTCTCATCCTCCGAGTCGAATGTTCCTCGTGAAATGTTAGTAGGCGAACCAACGTCCTCATTTACCGCTACAACAAGATGGTTCCAAGCAGCCCTCAATTCATCTGAGACAATGTCAACGTTTTCCCTGACGAGAAGTTCAAATTGACCAGGATCTGGGACCGGCGGTGGCTTGCCACAGCACTCATAGTCACGGTAAGCAATACAAACAATGTCCTTGTTCCGCTCAAGATACAGTTCCAGATTGTCTACCAATCGACTGCAACGCAGATGAGCTCGAAAAGGGCCATTTTCGACAAGCCAAGGTTCATCTAGGTAGAGACCGTGCTCATCAGAAGCTTGACAAGTGATTCGATTAATGATTTGAACTCTGGGCGGTCCTTGATTTAAACAGGCCAGTCGCTTCAAGGACTCAGATTCTCTCAAGAGCTTGTCCTTGATTTCGAGCTCCTCAATTATCTCGTCGTCAGTGCATGTACTGGGCATGTTAAGAAAGTTGCAGATCTTCCGCCGCCAGTCGATCATCATAGGCGCTCGGCGACGGCTGTGAGAAACCAGCTGGTGTCTATCTAGGTGGTTTCGAAGTTTAGCTGAGATCTCAATCGAATGGCCAGCATATTCACTCACCGGAATCATCTTCATTGTCTTCGCCATTTGTTGACGACGGCTGTGAAACATCGTCTTGGGGTCTTGAGACTGTCTCTGAGAACCTATCCATAACTAGATGAAAATAAGATGCAAATTGGCGACCACCGCGGGACAGTCTGTTAGAAGACTCGGGAGAAATAACCTCTTAGCTGTGGTTGATGGTGGAGGATGAAGACAGCTCGGGAAGCCGAGATTGATTCACGCCGTGCTTTCAGCCGCAGTGTCTGCCTAATATGCACATTTGCGTCATGTGCCCAGCAATGACAACCAATAGCAAGGTGCATGTAAGCGCCAGCCTCGTTTGGAAACAGGACATCAGTTTTTGTTCAATTCTGACTTTTGTGAACTTGAATTTAGCTTCGTATTTCCCAGGCGCCTCTGTAACTCTCGAACATGGATCTTCGCGATGTGTGGCAAGCTCCCCCGAGCAGGTCGGTAGCACTGCCGAGCCAGCAATCGCCGGGTGTCCGTTCAAGCAATCCATATCGTCGCTACCCGCCTGTCAATACCCAGAGATACGCATGCATATACTGTCGACAATCTCATATGGCCTGCGATCTTGAGAGACCATGCACCCGGTGCATCAAGCGCAACATCGGACATCTTTGCCACGACGAGCCTCTCGATGACGACTCAAAGAAGAGCAAGAGTGTGCATACTACCCAGACTGCGCAAACCAACAGTTCGAGTCTACTAGACTCTAATCTGAGAAGCTGTCATTACACAATATCGCGAGATCACACGGAAGGGGTAGAGGATCAAAAATGCAAGGTATTGGCCGACTTTGGGAGAAAACATATTAGGACTTGGACCAACGTATCACTTGCAAATACAAACAGTCTAACTGCCAATCGTGATACTTCTGCCGAGAGCCGGGAGTCTGTTAATGGCCCAGAGACCGATGCAGGTCAAGATGGATTGCCAAAGTGGGTGTCTATTATTACACGCCATTTTATCTTGATGCTGACCATCACTATAGCCTTATTGACACTTATCAGTTGAGACGTGTGGCTCGGAGTTTTAACTCGCAGAGAGAAGTGAGCAAAATTAATTTCGACGGCTTTACAACAGGATAGCTTCCAAGAATTGCAGGGACACCAAGGAGGGCAGGATAAGGAAAAATAAATAAGAATATTTTCTCATCACAAAGCAATCAAACTGATAGGTCCAATGAAGAAAACTAATCTATTTTCTTCCAAGATTAAAGATTTGATAAGATACCATTCTTCTCAACCTTTAAACTATGCATAATATTACTTTATTGCCGCCAACCCTCCAGGAAGGCCTTTGCGTAGGCCGCAGCCGTCGAAGCGGCATATACTTGCCACCTCTTATCCTTGTGACTGTCAGAATAATCGCAAATGCCTTTGATAATTACGCAAGGCAGAATGTCCCATGCTCCCGCCCCCTCCATCTCGAAAGCAATGATCCCTTCACTGCGTGCAATACGGTCACGGTCCTCCCCCGACTTCATAACCTTATCTCCAGAGCCGAATTTCCCAAAGTGCACAGCCGGATACAGATTTAATTCATTACCAGCTGCTTCCCTTTGTCGCTTCCGAGCTATAGACATTGTGATGTCGCACCCAAGTTCTTTGCAGCTCGCCGAACGGGCTTGTCCACAAATCATACCAGTTAAAACACCCGAGTCGCCAATGCATATGTTGCATGAAGAAGGAGGATGGTGCTTGTGGTTATATGTCGACTCGAAAAGGATATCTTCCTCAACATCAGGATCCAGAACCCCAAGCACGTTACTCAACGTGGTTAGATATTCATTTGCCCGTTCTCGAAGTCTCCGGCGAGCATTCAGACCCTTGAGCTTGGCCAGGTACCCAAGAATTTCAACCGGTAACTTTCTAGCGCTCTCCGACACACTATTTTTGATCAAGCAGCCATCTGGGTATTGTCTCGCGAAGTCATAACGAACTAGTCCATCGCTAATGGCGACGTCGCCGAGAAAAAGCTCTGCCCCATCTTGAGAAAATGGGACCCCTCCGCAAATCCCTACTACTAGTGCCAGTGAGATTCCAGGAAAGGTAGACCTGCAACAAGTAGCTACAGTCGCAGAGTAGGTTGTCCCCATACCAGGCATATGGACCAGTACAACACCATGTCGGCCGATAATACCAAGTGTATATGTGTTTGTATCCCCCTCAGAACGATTGTAGCCAGCAGTCCATTGCCTATCAAAAAGCGATTCAACAGCATCAGCTTCAAGCGTTAATGCGCAGAGAATTGCTATGTCGATTTGTGGAGGGCGGGGTGAAAAGGAACTCGGCTGGAACGACTCCGGTCTCCCTGCTTCAGGTGCTTCAGGTGCTTCAGGTGCTTCAGGTGCAGAAATGTGCTGTTCTGCTTGCTCTGGTATAATTCCGCCTTGCGATACTTCCGATAATTCATCTACTTCTTGTCCACTTCTGTTTTGAATTGGAAAGCTAAGTGGAAGACAATGCTCCGATGAGGTGTCAATGCCCCCCATTTCGTCATCTGAACCAATTTCGGATGCTGGGCCAACCAAGATAAGGGACGATGTTTCTGTTTCAGGCCATAATGGATGGGTTGCAATGAGTAGGACTTTCAAACACGTACAAGAACTCTTTTGTACTCTTGCCATGATTTCCTCCAGTTGGTTAGGCCATGGTTTCGCGTTCTCAGCTCGTTCCCCAAGGACAGTAACCATCATAATGATAATCAGACTCGGGAACATCTGGAATACTCTCTCGAGTACTCTGAACCAGTCTTCACATGATGAGGCTTCTGCAAATAGTTGTAACATATCAGCCAAGAAATAGATCGTGCGATCAGTCGAGACCTTTCGGAAAGCCTGGAGTGCGATCTGTCGCAGTAGTTCTCGTTCATCATATCCGCTGAAGAAATCGATTGAACTTGGAGACTGCAACATGGCGACTGTTGGTTTCTTACTTTCAAGGTATTCCCATACCTCTGCAGCAAATCTCTCAACACGATTGACCGATTCATAGCAGCCTTGAATCGCCAACAGCGATGGCTGGTCTGACTTCGCCCAGTCTAGAAGTTGTTGTTTCTCCCAAATATCGTCCGTATAAATGTCTCCTCCCGTCAATTCGCAGACATCCTGAAAGTCCAAGCATTGGTTCTTGATGCATACAGGGTCAAGGATAACTGATGGGACACTGCATAAGGTTGGGATGGCCCAGAGATATGATCGTATAGTATGTGGCGAGCATGACGATAGCGTCACTTTGCCGGCAAGTACTCCTGGGAGGTGTGAGTAAGAGGGGAACCATAGATTGTCAAATACCACCTACCGGACAGACATTCACGTAACTGCTCAAGCTCAATACGATAGTTATCATACATCCACTGAGTCGTGAATATGCCAGGATTGGCAGACCCATTGTCTTGCCATATCACCTTCGGTGGGATTTCCAGCTGTCTTTTCACTTCATGCAAGAGTCTGCGCAACTTTGTATCCATTGTCAGGCATCGGTTAACTTGTGATTTCCAGACGCGCCAGTTGGTTCGGAAGACTGACACGTCATCGCGTATAAATCAGGCTGTGAAATTTTCAGCTCGACGCAGCTGCACGGCGTTAGCTATCTTGCACAGCGATTCGATTGGATATTCCCGACGGCTTAGTCAACTGTCTCATTTCACGTGAAGCGTCCCCCCATTCAATCAAAGTGGCGTTGCTCTCGTGATAAGCGATTCGCTACATTCTGTTTCTTTCAACCTACCCCGCTCAGTATCAAGTTCACTCGTGAACACTATACCAACATTACAACCACTTTAACTTGCACGCTTCAATCTCAGCTTCCCCTTTACTATAGATAACCTGATAGAAGTTTAATAGATTATTTTATTTTGAAGTTATTTCTAATTACAAGTTTTAACTTTAAAAGCAGAAGTTAAAGCATTTAGCAATATTATAGTAGATACCTAGCTTAATTTATCCAAAGGCACTGTCGTTATCGTCTCATAAGCTACTTTACTATAATATTTTCTCCACCCATCTACTGAAACCCCCCCCCCCCCCCTCCAACTCAAATCTCTCCATACTGGTGGTTGTCGGCACCGCAGAATGTCTGAAGTCGACCAATACAGAACAGCCCTAGCTATCGTAAGGCTTAACTAGTTGATAGCCACTTATGCGACATAGTTAACAGTAAGTTGTCCGTTCTTAACGTCATTGCCAGGATCGACAGGAATGCTACCGCACTTGGAACACCCATGCTGTCTAAGCTGGTCGAGGAATGTGACAGACTGCTCCTTGGTAAAAGTTCGGCTACCAATGCCCTGGTAGAAAGCACACAGGTTTCCAAATGCAAAGGGAATGCAAGCAACATGTTCACCGTTACCAAAGTTGCCCTCCTCACCAGCAGCAACAGCATCACGAACATCCTTCAGGTCTCCATTAGGTGTGTGTCCGATACCTCCAACTCCACAAGTGGAGCTACCACGGCAGTTGATACCAAGGCGCCTGACAAGAAGATTGTCGCCTCGCTTCTCGTAGGATACAGGACTTTCGGGCGCATCGCGCTTGGTAGGGTTTGTCTTTTCGCTGCGTTTCTCGTAGACAGCCGGGCTCTGACGTGTATCGCGGCTGGTAGGGTTTATGACGACGTTGACAGTCAGCTGACCGTTAGCAACGTTGTTGCCCGGGTCAGTCGGGACGCTACCGCAAAGCTTGCAGCCATGGTCGACGATCTGCTGAAGGAACGTCTGAGTCTGGGCAAGCGAAAAGCTGCGGTCTCCAATGTTCTGATAGAACGCACAAATGGCTGGATGATTGCCAATGTTGTTGATGTCTACGCAGCTAACGTGCTCGCCGTTCCTGAAGGTCTTGTTGGGGTCGATGGCTCTGACCTGGGCAATGAGCTGGCCGAGAGCACCTTTGTTGCCACTGCAAAGGCCACTGCCTCGGCAGTTGATCCCTAGAGCATCTGACAAGCCAGCAATGGCGGCAAGGGCAAGAAGGGCGTTTTTGAACATCATGAAGAAGTTAAGTTCTTGGAAATTGAATGAGATTCAAGTGGATTGTTGGTGTAAAAGGAATCTGAGTGCAAAGTGTGATGAGTTGTGATGAAGAAACTGTGATGGAATGGCGGGAATGTGGTGCCTTTTATCTTCCAAATACCAAAGTTATTCTACTCTAGTAAAATTGAGGACGTACAATATCCATCGCTGAGAAGCAGAAGCGGCCGAAACATGCCTTGTCGAGCGTTTGACCCTGTACTGATCGACTGATGATAAATCAACATCTACTTACCCGAAGCATAATTTTGATGAGAACGATGTATGAAGCGTAATATTCAACGTAATGAATTATACCGGATCGGCTTCTAAGTGGTAGATACACCCTAGTTTGACCAGTGCTGTGACGAGGCTTTCGCCTTGACCTCTTGAGAAGTCCGCCAATCGTTAAGTCACCATGCCACGCGGGATCTCTCAGCGGGATCGACACAAACTCAGGACGCTGTCAGCGGGATCCACATATAGGCTGTCATCGGGGACTGCACTCAAGCCTTTTTTCCGAGACATTCAACGTCATACATTGCATCTACCGTTAAGCAAACAGCTGAGAACCCGCTAGTGCCAGCCCGTGTGATCATGGTCAATTATTTTTCAACCAGCGACGGCCCGTCACTAATGAGTCGCAATTGCCGAGCTCCCCGGCTGACGTAAGGCTCATACCTACGAATCAATACCCACAAATCAACCAAGCCGGGATGTTGTATAACCAACAATTCTGCATGATGTGTAAGAGTCGCTGCCTTGAGGGATTTTCTGTTACATTTTGCGTCTCGGAATCGGGCTTATCGCTACCTATCCACGACAATCGCTTGATCGGCGACAAGTTCAATGAGGGAAAGCTTTTCGGTCTTTTTCTTCGCGTTGTTCGCGACTTTGTCAAAGTCAACCATGTTGGAAATAATACTGGACGTACCACGGACGATGCTGTAGTAATTGGTCAGACATCTTGGTATAATGCCTAAGTTGTGAGCTAGAAGTGTTATTTGCCGCTGAGACCTGTGGCTGAGAGCTTAATCCAGCCGAGAGAACCTAGTGACAAGAAGTCTTTTACCAAGACTAAAAATGGTATTGTAGCCAATGTGGTTGCTAGAGAGGAGATGAGTGTGATTGACTTCAGTAATCATGTTCAGGCCGTTGTGGTTGGTCGCCGGTCTGCCTACAAATTCTGGGCTCCGACTTTTGACAACAATCCACATGCTTGGGAGAACTCAATTGGTGAGTGGCCTACCCTTTAGACGTTGAGACTTGTATATATTAATAAAAAGCTTCAGTCTTGGTCAGCGGGTTTTCCCTCGTGCGAAGTGTTTCAATCAAGGGCAACACGATCAACATCAATGGTGACTGGGACGAAGAGACAACTATTGAGATCTGGGCTCCAAACAAGATCAGAAAAGTCGCATTCAACAGGGAAAATCTTCATGTCACCAAGTCCAAGTACGGAAGCTTTATTGGTACTCTGCGAGCTCCTGAAATCACTGTCGAGAGCCTCACTTCCAGCCCCCCTTCTCTCAGTGACTGGAAAGTGAGTGAAGGTCTCCCTGAAGTCGCCACAGGCTACGATGATTCTAGATGGACTGGTAAGCAACCCCAAGCATGACTATAGGGATAAATGCGACCTATAAGGTTAACCTTTAGGCTATAAATATAGGTAATAAATAAGAATATAGTATTATTTACCTTAATATAAGCTTTAACCTAAAAGCTTTTATAATAACTATTATATCTTACTATAAGCCTTAAGGTATTATAAAGTAAAGAGATTAAAAGATATATAAAAAGATATAATTTTAAGTTTATATTTTTATATATATATTACTATAATATAACTTAATAAATAAAATAGTAATTATAAATAAAATTACTATTAATAAAGACTATATAAGCCTAAAGGCTTAATAATATATTATTAATTTCTTTATTAAGTTTATTATTTTTAATTATTAAGTTATTTAAAATGTATTTTAATAAATAAGTTTTAAAATATTTTTAAAAATTATTATTACTTAAAATAAATAATATCTTAATTATATTATAATTTTTAATAAAGATTATATTAAAATTATACTTTTTAACTATAAAGTATTTACTATAGCTATTAAATACCTATATATTAATAACCTTAAGAACTTTATTTATAATAAGGCTAAAAAGCTAAAAAGGTTAATTAAAAAGGAGGATAATAATATAATTATAATATTATAAAGAAATATAACTTAATTACTATAAACTATAATATTATAAAAGGCTATAAAAGTAATAATATAAATAATTAAAAAGTTTATAATTAAAGTTATTAAATAACTTTAAGAAAGATTATATATATAATAAAAAGGTTAAAACTATTAAAGGTTTTATTAATTAAATTATTTAAGCTAAAAAAGTTAAAGTATTAATACTTTTACTAAAATAAGTTATATTTAGGAAATTAAAAGCTTTAATAGCTAAAAGAATATAAGCTAATTAAGTTTAGAAGATTAATATATAATAATTTATTTTTAAATATAATAACCCTAAATATAAAACTGTTAAATAAGACCTAATATAGATCTTACAGATGCCGATCATGAGACTACTCCTCACTTTGTTCCCCCTGATACTTATTCTGTTCGATTCCCCGATGAGTATTGGTACCAGGCTGGTAACATTCTCTGGCGTGGTCGTTTCAACGCGACTAAAGGTGAAGAGCCTACGGGCGCCTTCCTCCGTGTCATTGGCGGCCTTGCCAGTGGCTTTTCTGTCTATGCAAATGGCAAGTTCCTCGGCGCCTGGCTCGGCAGCATGATCAATAAGATAGGCGAACTGGCGGTGAGTTTTCAAGGTGTCAAGCTCAACACCGAAAAGGCCAACGTCTTGTTCGTTATCCAAGATACAATGGGCAAGGAACGACGGGAGGCAGCACTTGACCCCAGAGGTATCCTGAATGCCACTCTCACCTCGGCCGATGGTTCTGCCGCCAACTTCACTTCGTGGAAGGTCACTGGCAATGCCGATGCAAAAAATCTCATCGACCCTGTGCGTGGCACTTACGAAATAGGCGGTCTCCATGCCGAGCGCCTTGGCTGGCATGTTCCTGGCTATGATGATGATGAGTAGGATGCTGGATCGCCTTCGATTGGATTTGAAAGCGCTACAGCACCCTTCTACCGCACTCTCGTACCCTTGCGCATCCCCATAGGCTACGATGCTAGCTTGTCCTTCACTCTGCAAACTGAGAGAAAGGCCAAACTTCGGGCTCAGCCATACGTCAATGCTTATCAGTATGCAAAGACCTCACCTTATATTCCCAATAAGATAACCTTGGTCAGTTACAATTAGCATGAGGATTTGAATGTACCAGACTAACCAATCCGCAGTGGTCCCAGGTATCCTCAACTATGACGGAACACACTCGGCCTCAACATTTGGGCCATGGATGAGGCTGGAGGATCTATCGATGCTGGTTGGGAAGTAAGCTGCATCTACCGCTCGGGATACAACCCTTTGCTTGATACTAAATATCTTCAACCAGGCTGGAAGAATCGTTCGAAGTATCGGTATTAGAAGCGCGCGCTGGATCATTCCAGTTACACATCGTCAAAATATAATCTAAAATTCATAACATGTTCTTCTTTTGATGATCCTCAGTAAATCATTTAACTTTTGGACACTACTACCAATGCTTAACTTTGAACCTATCAACTTGAACTCTTAACATAGAAGTAAACATGAATTTTTTCACCAACGATTTACTTGCACTGTGGACCCATACCACAGGCCAGGAAACACATCTACCCTATTTGCTCCACCAAGGGCCAATCGGATAGCTGCTTACGCCGTCGGAAAAGCTGGATCTGGAAAGAACCGTCGTACCGCCACCAACGTTCCCGCCCAGCTCATATCATGTATTTAGTTGAGTACTCCGGTGTTTGCCCAAGTTCCCAAATCACTGCAGCCCTCGACAAAATTTCCATCATTTGATCCGCCATTAGTCTTTGCGCTGGGCAACCAATTCATTATGGGGAAAATTGCATCGATCGAGTATTTTCGCGTCCCACCTCGGTGGCTGTTCGTCAAAATCACAGACGATACTGGTGCCTTTGGATGGGGTGAGGCTTCTCTCGAAGGTCACACCAACGCGGTTGAAGGTTGCCTTGATGCCTGGTCTGAGAGATACACTGGTCTCGACGCTGAGTAAGTTGCGTCTCTTTTCCGACACACCCTTATAATTAACGTGGAAAAGCGATATTGAAAACATCTGGCAACTGTCCTGGCGCGGAGGATTTTACCGCGGAGGCCCGGTGTTTATGAGCGCCTTGTCTGGCATTGACATTGCACTCTGGGACTTGAAAGGTATGCCAAGGCTCTGAACCGACTTCCGGTCGAAAGCATGTCCTGCCTGTTGATGAATGAGGTTTTTTTGCTGACCAGAAGGAAGCAAGAAAGTTGAATGTACCGATATACCAGTTACTGGGCGGCAAGGTCAGGAACAAGATTCGCGTGTACGCCTGGATTGGTGGTGACAGACCAAATGATGTAGAGGCTCAAGCGTAAGTAAAAATGACTGCGGTGAGCATGCAATATACTCACGTCCTCTAGTCAAGCCCGTAAGGACCAAGGATTTCTCGCCGTCAAAATGAATGGCACGGCAGACACGGCGTGGCTGGACTCGCCTTCAGTATTGAAAGAGGTCGTTGCTAGGGTCCAGGCAGTCAAGGAACTCGGATTGGATGCTGCGGTTGATTTCCATGGCCGTGTCCATAAACCGATGGCTAAACGTCTTGCCAAAGCTCTAGAACCATACGAGCCGCTGTTCATCGAAGAACCCCTGCTCTCAGAGAATATCACTGGTATAAAGCAGCTGTCTGAACTAACAGCTATCCCAATTGCTCTGGGGGAGCGACTCTACAGTCGATGGGACGTCAGACCCTTCCTCGAGAATGGTTCAGTAGATGTTTTACAGCCAGATATATGCCACGTTGGAGGAATCTCAGAGATGGGCCGTATTGGAGCCGCAGCAGAGACATACGACGTTGGCCTTGCCCCTCATTGTCCCTTGGGGCCAATCGCTCTGGCAGCAAACATACAGGTAGATACTGCGCTCCCCAACTTTGCTATCCAGGAAATGGGAATCGGTATGCACTATAATAATGGGGGGCAGGATATTACTACTTATATCGCAAATCCCAATGTTTGGGATGTACAAGATGGTCATATCGACATCTTGACTGGTCCAGGACTAGGCATCGAGATCAATGAGGAGGAAGTCAGGCGACTATCCAAAGATGCAAAGAGTTGGCCTGTGCCTGAGTTTAGAGGACCTTGTGGGGAGCTTCGTGAGTGGTGAGATATTAGGTAACTTCTGCTTGTCAGGTATATCATAAATAGATAGACATACTCCCTTGGATTATTATGTTTCCAAGACAGAACTATGAGAGGCTCGTATCTTTTATTACAGAGACTATTCCAAATGTAGATAACCAAGTGCCTGGCAACGTGTTTAATCCTCAGATGTAATACTTCCTTGGTTGATAGTAAACGGGCCTTACTTACAAATGTGAAGGTGGCCGAGTGAGAATTTACAGAGCACAGTTTATATACAGGATATCACACCTAACGAGATGACATTGAGTACAATAGACCCAAGAGATGTGTTAATAGTCATGTTCTACGTCAAGTTTAAGACACGAGTTCTATATCCAAGCCCCATCGACAGAGTAACAGCTTCCGCTCACAAAACTACTCTCTGGACCAAGGAGAAACCCAACCACGTTTGCGACCTCTTCAGCAGTACCGTAACGCTGAAACGCGATAGGCTCTTCAAAAGGCGCATCAGCCGGGCGCTCTGTTCTATCCCAATACCCTTGCATCAGGGGAGTGTAGATCGGACCTGGTGCTACTGCGTTGACGCGGACCCCTCGATGGCCGTTTTCCTTGGCTGCAACCCGAGTCAGACCCAGGACTCCATGCTTACTTGCCGCATAGGCCGCATGATTTGCTATCCCTTTCAACACTTAGATTGAACGCAGAACGAATCCAGTCAGCGAGGCTTACCGGTTGTAGCGTGGATAGATGCCATATTAACGATTGATCCACCACCCTCAACATGCTTAAGCTCTGAACGAAGACAATACATCATTCCAGTCAAGTTTATGTTGAGGATCTGGAACCACTCATCGTCCTCTAGCTCTATGAGTGACTCTTTGCCATGGCCGTTGCCGATGATGCCTGCAATATTGGCTGCTCCATCTAGACGACCAAATTGGCTCTTGATGTTGGCAATCCATGATTCCACTTGCTCTCGGTCGACCACATCGACTCTAGCGACGGAAAATTGAACCTTTGGAGCTTTAGAATTGAAATATTCCTCAGCCTGATCGAGAGCAGATGTGTTTACGTCAGCGATGCAAACTGTGGCCCCGCGATCGGAGAGGAGCTTGGCTGTTGCAAGACCGATGCCGCTTGCACCACCAGTCACTGCATAGACCTTTCCACTAAGAGACATGTTGAATTTATGAGAGGCGATTCGAGAATGAGCTGATTTCAGACGTGAATCTACCGACTCACGTCTTTGTATCAAAAGCGTTCAGCTTACTTTACTATGAATCCGATTATTAATCGGGGTGACGTAGCTAGCCCCGAAGTCGGAAAATGCATATCCGACGGATGTGGATGATTGCAAGCTTCGGTTACTCAAACTACCCGTCGACCCTGTTCAACTTGGTGGCGACTGGAATATGACGGATAACGTGGTAGGATCCGGTAATATTCATTCCTAGTTGCTATAGCTACAGTTTGTGACCACCCTAGCTTGACCCAGTGGCCTAGAGAGCAACCATATCTGACTCGAGAGAAGTATACTTGACAAACTAAGTAATATCACCCATCATGAACTGATATTCACCATTGAAGCCGGATACAACCTGTTCCTCACCATGTTAACGATCAACATCATTTCGCAACTCGAACACAAGCTTACCATAGCATCGAACTGGCCCCAGCCTGTGACATCTTCCAGAGAGTCGGATGGGCTGACATGCCACTCGTCCAAAGAACTCATTCCTGAAAGACCAGGCACATCCATATTTAACCCAGCCTCTGGCATTGTCTCAGCGTCAGGAGCGCGAGATATATTAACATGATTTCTCGCATCTGCCGACGATTGGAGTTGATTGAGACCCTGGGCGAGTCCTCTCTGCGCTAAGACCTCCACACGAAGCTCTTCCAAGACAAGGCAATATCGAAAAGTCAAAGTTCCTTCTCCGGCAACATCTGCAATCTGTTGCTGGCAACGCTCAGCGGCTTCAAAATATGCTTGATACACGACTTGCTGTTCTCTGCTGCGCTGGATTGTGTAGACGTAGAGAATGACACAAGCTGAAAAGGCAAAGTAAGGGGTGAACTAGAAAAGTGTTAGCCCGAGTTTGGACTGGTGCATGAACTACAGAGGTTACCCAGAAAGCACGAAACAACTGTTTCGATTGAACGAGCATGTCCACTATGCCCACGATATTCATCGCGGCGTTGAGACAATCAGTCGCGCTTTCGTCGAGCTGTGCTTTTCGCTCGTCCTCAACTTGCCGTCTACTACTGGTAAGTCTTGCAAAATTGCTGAGTAGTAATGGACGATTCGTCAAGACAACTGTGTGCCAGTAGGCAAGATTGAGCACGTTGCGCTGTCGCTGATAGATCAAGATCAATTGGGCAGCGATTGCGGGATCTTGGTCAAGGAAGCTCGACATTTGCGATCTCCAATCCTTGAGCTCTTGCATATATTTGGCTCTATGGGTGAGTCGTTGGGTTACTGTCATTGGTTCAATCGAGTAAACATCAACCAACACTCCGCCAATTATACGCGATAGCCTGTAGGTCAAGGGTCAGTGTCCAGCAGAAACACTGTGTTCATGGTATATACTTAGCATAAGCAGTCGGTGCGGATGAGAAAGTTAGTAACGGTTTCGAAGGAGGGGATATTGGTTCGTTCACATAGTCAATGCCGTCGTCATCAACACATGATGGGAGTTTCTGATCAATATCCCTGTCGTGAAAGGTTCGAGGTCTCCCGAGAGCTGCACTGAGGTAGTTGTCGAGACTATACGCACTCCAAAAGGTTCTCCGGCGGCACTCGATCTCAACTCGCGACATGGAGTCGGATCTAGCGTTTGGGCTGCGATGGAGACCGAGAGCGAGAGCTAGGCGAGCGACAGTACCGAAGAGGCTCCAGCAATGGTTAATTCGTGACTGTGAGAGGAGCCAGAGGCATTGGCAGAGACGCGCTTGAACGCTCGCGAGCCGTACGGCACCCAGCTCCATGGAGAGTTGGTGTTCAGCGGCTTGGAAGTATCGCACACTGAATCATCAGTCAGAAGGATGCCTTGTGGTGCTAAGAATTTGATCACTCGACGTACCTGGTATCGACACCTGACTGGGATAACTTGGTTACCATGTGCTCCTGAGCCATTGCAAAAACCATGAAGAGGACAGATTTCTCGGCAGGCGCGGTATCCTTATCGTACATTGCGCCTTTCGTCTCATAGAACTCGTCGAGTCGTCGCTCAATAGTCGGTCGATGTAAGAATCGGTCCACAGGGACTGCAAAGTCGAAATACCTTTGTACCAGTTTATCCGTGATTGGTCGATCAAGCAGGAAGAACAATGCTGGGTCAAGTGAACGCTGTGCAATGCCGGCCGAGCTGTGATAGGCTTCAGTACCAGGTAATGCGGCGTCTCCAAAGTTGAAAACGGAGAGGCCGTGGGGGAACGAGACTGTCTCACCAAAGCGCTTTTGGATCCTGGAGAGAAATGAGATGCCAGACGAAGAACCCACATAATAGCCTTGAAGATCTGTCTGGATTGGTTCAGGTGACGTGCTAGAAGCAGACTCGGTAGTAATCAGCGAGTCATCCCCCGGCACTGGCTGTTGCAGGTCTTGCAAAGCCGTTTGGCTACTCAGATTGTCTGACGGCGCTTTCCTTGTTGCCGAGCTTGGTCCTATTTGCGGTGGGTGACTGGGCCGAGAGACTCGGACATTGGGCTTCCTCCCCCTGTTGTGCGTGGCGTTGAAGGAGCAGCTTGCCCTCACTTCCGCGCAGACATTACACGGCCGTTGGCCGTTACATCGCACTTTTCTCCTGGATCAGTCAGCCGGTGACCAACCAAAGGCGGACGTGTCTGCTTTACTTCTTGCATCTATCGCACGCGCGCGTCACCCGGACCCGACCGTTTGGCCGGGCCGAGTTGGAGAGTGTATGCAGAACGAAGACGCCCTGTTCCGTGTGTGGAGAAGACGCGGTCTGTTCCGCGACGGTTATTTCCTCCATATCAGCTGGAACAATGACTTGGCCGGCGATAAAAGAAAAATTATCAGAGCAATGTAAGTGAATGTACGACAGACGATCCGAGGAAAAAGTAGCCGACAAGCTGCTAGTTTTCCGTCGGATAATTAACATCCGTCTCAAGTGCGGGGAAGCCTCGAGCTAGTTCAGCTGCTTAGCTTGCTACTGACACGTCCGCCTTCGATGACATTCAACGTGATAGAACTTAGTTCATTAGGAACGAATTAATATCTTGCGCATTCGAGCACGATCTCATATAGCAGAGTCACATCTGAGGAGGTAACAAACCTCGATTTTCGACAATAAGGAAACTTGGAAGTAGCTCTGAGCTTTGTCGAAAGACGGGAGAGGTAGACTAATCCTGGCATTTAAGCAGTTGGTTCAGGCAGGGGAAGGGAATAATTACTGTGTAAGAAAAGATTGACCATAATTTGCTAAATTATTTTGTCGGAATAGCTGGATTCTAATCCAGTAAGCCACTAACCAAAAATGCTTCTACCAGTGCCTGTCTACCAAGTTCCCATGACTGCGACACGAATCGATGGGGTACAACATTAGTCTGGCCTTAAGCCTGGTCGCCTTCATCGTGAATTACGCCACCCTTCTCCTCAGTATGTCCCATCTCTTGAGTAAATGTAGTAGTAGGAACCCAATTGGCGCTCTTGCGTGGGCTCGTTTCCATAAGCATGCGGTCGACCTGTTCGAGGGAGAGCCCTTTCATCTCAGGAACAAGAAGGTAGGCAAAAAGAGCCCCAAGAAAACAGAGTGCTCCCCAGAAAAAGAAAACCTTTGGCCCAAGGTTGACAGCGCCTTTCTCATCTCCGGTCATGTAAGGAGAAATGACTGCAAGTACACAGTTCCAGAACCAGCACGAGGCTGTCGAAATGGCGATGCCACGGGAGCGGATCGGAAGAGAAAAAGTTTCTCCAACGACGACCCATGCACCAGGTCCCCAGGTGGTAGCAAAGAAGAAGATCTGGAAGCAGATGACAGCGATCATGCCCTTGGCAGCTCTTTCATCGTTAGGCATGGCAGTTCCGACAGCACCAATGATGTACTGCATACAGAACATGGCAAGTCCACCATAAATAAGGAGTGGCCGCCGTCCGAATCGTTCAATGGTCCAGAAAGAAAGAGGAGTGGAAAAGACGTTGACCAGAGTGGTGATAAGCGATATGAGAAACGGGTTAGAAATGGTTCCCAGCTGCTGGAAGAAGGTCGTGCCATAATAAAATATGAAGTTCATGCCCGACAGTTGCTGCATTCCCTGGATCCCAGCTCCTGCAATTGTTCTTCGTATGTTAGAGCTGGGGCTGGTAATGGGGCCCTTGAAGCAGACCAGCCACGAGTTGATATAGCCAGTGTCAGGGGTGACAGTCCGTTCGTACTCATAGTTCGCGATAATTTCCTGGAGTTCATCCTGGACGTATGCGACAGGCTGTCCTCGAATGTAGCAGAGAGATTCGGTGGCCTTCTGGATATCACCCTTTTTGACAAAATATCGTGGTGATTCGGCTAGAATTTGCTAATTAGTATTGTCCACAAGGAATTGCAGAGAGCTTTACGGAGAATAAAGAGAGCTACAGCTAGAAAGATGGCCCAGACGAATTGGACACCTATCGGAATGCGGTATGATGCGGTGGTACTCATATTCTGTGTTCCATAGACAACGCAATTTGCCAAGAGAAGCCCAATAGAGCTTCAGCAGCTGTATCAGTTTTTGTCCAGTATTTCTTTAGTGATAGATGTTATAACTTACATGCAGAATTGATATGCAGAGACGACAGCACCACGGATCTTCTTGGGTGATACTTCAGACACGTATAAAATAATGACAGCTGACTCAAAGCCAACACCCAGACCGGCGACGAGCCGACCAAGAACCATGATGGCCAATTGACCGCTGGTCGCAATCTGGAGGATGACGCCTGCCGAGAAGATGCCACAGCCCATAATAATGGTGATGCGACGGCCCAGTATATCGGCGAGATCGCCTGCGATGATGGCGCCGAGGAAGGTCCCAAGTGAGAGGATTGAGGTCATGAGCGACTTATCGGAGGATGGGATGGAGAAAGGGCGCGAGTTATCGACAGGAGCTCCGGCAGTAAAGTCATACTCGATTCCAGTGAACTGCTGGATGAAGTAGGGCATGCCAAGTACGCCGCCCATCCAGCCAATATCATAGCCAAAGAAGACACCGCCAAAGGCAGCCGAGACGCAGCATAGATAAGCCTTCCAGGTGATAGGGGCCTCGACCTTTGACACGTCGGCTGTGCCCCGAATTGACTCGTTGCGGGGAGCCATTGAAGATGCCAATAAAGTGATGAAGCACTGTTGAATAGTTGGTCCGTGTATAGAAATATCTTGGTTGTCTCAGGGCGAGTCGGGGGCTTGTCGAGGGCTTTTATGAGTATGGAGCGGACAGCCACGGAGCAAAAATGACTGGCAGTTGACAAGGCCTCATCTGATCGTGTTTCCCCATGGGGAACAAGACAACGCTGGGGTAGCAAACTACTAAGGGATGATCATGTGGGGGTGTAGATGATTCGACGTGCTGAAGCTTGAAGCCACCAAGGTGATGAACCAGTGTCGAATGAGACCAATAGCAACTTGGCGCAGGAAATGGTTGATTGATGCCACTATGAGCCTCCATCTTGGGCATGGCGTTTCGGATAAGTTCGGCGGAACCAATGAACCAATGACTTCATATCTATCGGAAAATACTCATCCGTCGGAAGACTCATCCGTCGGCAACATCAACGCCTCCACTTCACGTATCACAATGAGTGTGGCCTGACGCATTGTACTGACGGTTTCCATTGCACTGAGCAGGACATTCGTTTGTCAGCAGCATTGCACAAAGGTGGTAGGTGGTTCAGTAATACCTTACCGGGTATCAATCATTCCGTTTCCAACTATCACAAAATGCTCCACCTAAATCGCACCACATGGTCCAGCAAAGTCTAGCTTATATATCCGTTCTATACAGCGTGGCAAACAAAATAAAGTCAGAAATGGTTATCCCAGCTTCGCATATTCTATACTCTTAAGAGCTGAGCCTTGCAACTGGTCATCCTCTATATGCTCATATAACCTATACACTGAATACGACTAGAAAAATATGACGTCTCGCGTTCCTCCCGACGGTGTCTTCGTGCCGGTACCAACATTCTTCAAGGACAAGCCCCAAGCTCCCGACTTACAACCTGCCATCGACGTGTCCACACAGGCCAGCCATAGCGTATACCTCGCCAATTCAGGCATCACGGGACTGGTACTCATGGGCTCTACTGGCGAGGCCATTCACATGTCGAGTGCTGAACGTATCAACCTGATCTCTGGTGTACGTAAGGCTCTGGACGTGGCAGGGTATAACGACTACCCGATTATGGCGGGGGTACTCGTCAACAGCGTTGACGAGGCGCTTCAGTGGCTTTCCGATGCTCAGCAGGCGGGAGCACAATGGGGACTTGTTCTTGCGCCGGGATATTTTGGCGGTGCCGTGACACAGGATAACCTAGTGGAGTGGTACACCTTGGTCGCTGACAATAGTCCTCTGCCAATACTTCTGTGAGAGCGTACCATGATCTAAAACAGCTGTCGAGCTAATCAATATCATCAGTTACAATTATCCTGGTGTAACGAATAACTTGATAATTTCCATTGATAGCTATGTCAAATTGGCACAGCATCCTAATATCGTTGGCTGCAAGATGTTTGTTCCCCAGATTTGTCAATCCTTGATCGTTAGTTTCTCACATGCAATAGGTCCCACGGAAACGTCTCTCACCATGTTCAACTATCTCTTCACCCTGAAGTCGACCATTCCAGGTTTCGTGTCTTCTCCGGCTTCGGCCAACAACTCGGGCCGATAGTTATCTTCAATGCCGCAGGTGTAATCGATGGTCTCGCAGCTATTTTCCCCAAGACCGTGACTCGCTTGTTTTCCCTGTCGGTCAAACGACCGCTGGATGAATCAGCCCTTTTAGAAGTGCAGAGGCTGCAATGGAAAATCTCTATGGCTGAGGAATTTATTGTCAAGCATGGTGTTTTAGGTATTCGCGAGGGCATATTCAGGGCCCCAGGCTTTGGACATTTATCTGGAGGACGGCTACCATTGAGAGGGGTATTACCAGAAGGGATATACAAAGACTGGGCTGGGGTTATTGGACAGATAGAAACTGAGGAAAAGAAGCTTTAGTTTTAAATAGAAAATATTAAAATGATAAATTGAATAGCAGTTTAGCATCATAGTGTATATAGTTAAGGTTATCGCTAGCTTTGTACAATCTCTGCTGTTGGCTGGGCGGTAAAACATCAACATCGAAGGTAGTATAAAGAACGGTGGGGCGTTCTTTAATTGGTTGTTAAGGATTTGAAGGAAGCGGGACTGCTAAAGTTCCTGGCCCTAACTTATCGACGTGACTACCTGCACCGTGGTCTTGACGAATGGCTCATTCGAAAAAGGAAGTGAAGTCAGGACAGTGCTTCTATCGATTTTGCATCAAGATGCCATCTTTGGCCAGCAAAAGACTCGAATGCCCATTACTCGATGCATTTACATCTTGTCAAATGCTGTCCTAGTGTCCTTCTTAAAACAGCCCTAGCGTGACAAAAGGATCACAATCCCTGCAAGGCAGAATCGACGTTTCCGTTTTGGCAAGTGATTCAATTTGGCTAGCGATTCGAAAAAATCCCTGTCCATTCGAGCTTTATCGTCGTGACAGCGGCAGTTGGTTGTGGCTTATTCTCCTCAGCCCTATTCCTATGACGACCTTGCCAATAAAGGAGCCAAGATCAACAGGTTGCCTCTTCTGAATCCCGTGTATTTATAGCCCACTTACTACGACAACATAGCATCTAGCAATTCTTCTCATTTTATTTCTCAATGGCAAACCAAGACGACCCTGCTCTCCCATACCGCGGCGCCCCTTTCCCCACGAAATGGCGCCGAAACCACCCACGGTCAAAGAATGGATGTCTTACGTGTCGCACTAAACGTAAGAAGTGTGATGAAGTCAAGCCAGTCTGCTCATCGTGCACCCGGACCGGGCAAGAATGTGTTTGGCCCTCTCAGGAGAGCACTTCTCAAAGAGCTATTCCGGAAGACGGCAGTGCCAATGAGCCACTCAGAACCTCCGGCCCTTCCCCAGACTCAGCAGCCTTGCAGTCCAAGTCCCGGTCATCTTCTCCTCGGGCCGCGCCGACCTACGGCAACCTAGCTCATATAAGCGATAACTCACGTCCGCTCTATCAGCAGTACCTGGATGTCACAGCTGAAATGCTGACTCGAGGGCCTTGCTTAGATGGAAACCCCTTTATTCATTATCTTCTCCCATTGGCTGCGAACGATAAGCTGGTTCTTGATTGCATCCTAGCTATTGGAGGAGCCCATCTGACAGTCAATGATACGACGTCTACTATCCAAAGAGCCCGAGCTTTAGAAGTGGAGACTCGTGGACATTATGCGACTGTACTGTCGGGATTACAGAAGCTCTTATCTTATCAGACGGGTCAGATCGTCCTACCGACGGATGAACAGACAGGGCCACTTACCCCAATCCGCATCCTGCTGATTCTATTACTCCTCTGCGTCTATGATGTAAGATTCTCTCACATGAGAACGTCATGGGACTCGTTGCTAACAGCTACAAGCATGTTCAAGGTCATTCTCGTGGCTCCATGTATCATCATCTCAAAGCTTGTCGACAGTATATCAATCTCCTCACATCCAGTCCCACGCCATCTAATGAATTGAAACACCTGAAAGGATTTATGCTGGAGCTCTATGCTTACCATGCAATCAAAATCACCATCACGCCTCGCAGCTTTCTATCTGACGAGGTCGTGGAAATCGACCCATCAGTCTATTCATTAGACATACTGAGAGCATACAAATCCAGAGGATTTCTACTCGGCTTTGGGCAGGGTCTATGGGAGATGGTTCCAGAAATCTCTCAGCTTGTCGAAGCCCGCCGGGAAGAAGAGAAGAGAGGCATCATAGCCCCTACCGCATTTCAAGAACAGTATGCTTCACTTTTAACAAGGCTCGAAGGCTACAACGCATTCAAAGAAGACACAAATGGCCTATCTTCTCGCGAAGAGCAAGCTACAGCTGTGATGATATATCAACACGGCCTTATCGTATACTTGCAGTCAGCCTTCTACCCCGACATGCTCGCAGACCCGAATCTCGCCGTCGAAATCGACAATCGAATAGAACAGACCATGTCAGCCTTTTATTCATTGTTTGTTAGCGAGTCGCCATACCGTCGAATGCTACTCTGGCCGGGCACTATTATGGCCTCAGTCGCGAGACGTCAAGAGCATATTCATGTGTTCCGCGCTGGGTTCTTCGCTAGAGCTTCGCGGACACCTGGTGCGGTGAAAATGGGTGCAAAATTAGTCGAACTTCTTTGGAGTGATCCTGACCCTCGAGCCTTTGGTCCAAGAGGTGTGTCTTACATCATGACCAAGCATGATATTAGCTTGAGTTTATGCTAAGGGAATGTTTTTTTGAGCAGCTTATATATATGTACGATATGCTGGCAGATCGAATTTTCTATTTTATTAAGAGTTTCGATAAAGTTCTAAGTAATTGTGTCTATCTAGGAGTTCTAGTCTGAGAACTGGCAGATGAGACGTGGGTCTATGAGGGTGATATCAAGTGCCTCATTGACTTGAGGACGATCTACACAAGAAGACGCAATACCTTGCTTACAATTTGCGAGGAATACTTGCTCCTGATCCCGCATTGGGGTCCCCTCAGGTGCAGAAATGTTTGTCAGCTCCGTTCCCAATGCTCTGGTTTATGATGGAAGGGTGTTCTGACCAGCCTCACAGCGATGGTTGGAACTTGATCCTACTAAGCATCCTGATTACCAACTCTGCAAAAGTTGATGAAAAAAGAAATAGCTTAACAGTAAGACACCAAAGAGCTACTAGTTTTAAGTATGAAAGAGTTTTCAGAGCCATAAAGGGCAAGGATCCAATGAATAATCCTAACTTCTACTGTGGCGTAATGCTTGCATCGCGAGCCTTACCCGCATCATAATTTATGTACATTTTCCAAACCTTCCACACCATTTCGGTCTCCCTTATTGAGATAGCCAGCCACTATGCCTTGTGGGTCCCACTTCTTCCTAATGTTCATGAGTCTCTTGCCCTGTTCCCGTCCCCAGAAAGCAGTTGAGCGCTTCTGAAAATCGGCATCTCCAAGATACGATCCTTCCGAGTCCCTGTTGATCTTATCAAAGATATGAGTAAGCCAGGATTGACATTTGGGGTCCTCGGACTGATCTTCCCAAACAACATATGCCGCAAAGTAATGATCGGTCTGCATCGAGAGTGCCATATCTTCAATCGTGCCATCTTCGATACTGCGTCGAGAGCCGGGAGCCATTGCGTACCAAAGGGTAAAAGACTTTTTGGTGGGGAGTGACGTGAAAGAATCCTTCAAGACAGAGACAACGTCTGCATCATTGCGGATATAAGAGTTGTCAACTGCATATCGATGACCCTCAGGGTTGGCAGAATGTTGATCGTCATACTGCTCCGCCATGGAAGTTGGCTCGCAAAACCACGAGATTACGTGACCTGGTGGTGCTGAGTCTTGAGCCGGCTGCAGCGCGGACCGTGCTTCTTCATCACTATTTTTGAAAGTGACAAAAGAGATCAAGATATGTTCTCCTTCCCGGCCTGGAAAATGTCGGCCAACTGCAACTATCTCAGTGCCCTCGTCGAAAGTCGGAGCAAGCTATGTCTTCTCTTAATGTAACTGTCACCAAGAAAGACTGGAAGCTCCGAACTAACCTTTAGAACCCAAGAAAAGGCCGCTTCATAATCTTTCTTTTCGTATATGTAGACTGATGATCGCATTTGGCTGAAGGCAGGAATTGTTTGGAGATAGAATCTGGTAACAACAGCCGGGAATCCTATACCATGAGGGAAAAAGCGTGAGCTATATGTTGATTCGTCTCAGAAAGAAAAAGGCTTACCTGGACCTGATCCACGTGCCGCCCAGTATAATTCCGCGTTGGTTGTTTTATCGCAGTGTCGCTTCTCCCCATCGGCCGTCACCACGTCGAGAGCCACCAACCTTTCACAAGCAAAGCCCCAGTTCTTCAACGATAATGTCAGTACGGATGCTATGGTCTTTCTTCAGTCACCTCACCTTACAATTCCACCCCATGCCGCCTTGCAGAAGAAACCCTCCAAGAGCAACCTCTGGGCAGTGGCCACCAGGGAACATGCGACCACGTAAGCCCAGGAGCTTGTTGACCATTCTTCCAGTCATGCTAGGTGATGCTTGCAGCACTCCGGTACTGTCGTCTAGAAGGAACTCGTGGTACTTGCCCAGGTCGATAAGAATGGCACCCTCTCGTACACTCCAGGCTGCCCAACTGTGACCACCAGAGCGCACTGAGACCCGGGCTCCCAAAGTGCGCGCAAGACGGACTGCCTCTACGATGTGATCCTCCCTGGTGGCTTCGACCACGGCAAGAGGCTGACTGGATGGTCGGCGGTGGTTGAAGACGCGGCCTACCCTGGCCCTTTCCCAACTCACATCACCTCGCCAGATGATGGGAAATGAAGGAGGCAGTTGAGATTTCGCCTGCGCAAGAGCATCGATTTGTGTCATGGTCGTTGGTTGGGTAGATTTGAGTTTGGCAGGGATGATAGTCTTGTTAATGTGGATGTGCTCTACTATACGAATAACCGTCCTTCTTACGCGCCTTATACGATCAGAATTCAATCAACATGGTGGATAATTAGTCCAGATGCTTGGAGAGCCGAAGCTACTCCGCCCAAATATGATCGGACTGCGGGGGCTCGGGGGATACTGGGACCACATTCCGAGAGGAGGTGAGAGCTGGCGGTCTTAGCCTACTTGGAGCGCCCCCTCAGCCGATCGCAGGCGCCCAAAAATGCAGTGGGGGCACCTGTAATTACTGAACTAAAACAATCTTCAGGGGACAAAGCAGCTGAGCGAGTCGCCAACCACAATTCTCGATTTCATTGTTTCAAATCACATCAAAAGCCAGAATAGCATGTCTGCCATGCCGACACAACAGCCCCTTGCTGGCAAAGTAGCCATTGTATCAGGAAGCGACAGCGGCATAGGTTTTGCCATTGCCCATGAGCTTGCGTCTCGCGGAGCGAATGTCACCATCAATTACCCATTCTCTTCTCAAGCAGACAATGCCAACAACAAGGCGGCGTCCCTACCAACTAGATGCATCGCTGTTTGCGCCGACATGGGTACTACTCAAGGCCCCAAGACGCTGGTAGACGCAACCATTCAAGAATTTGGCCGACTAGACATAGTTGTCAACAACGTGGCGCTGGCAGTCAACAAACCTTTTGAGGAGCAAACTTTAGATGATTGGGATCTGCTGGTCAATGTTAATGGGCGCAGCACCTTTCTCTTGACCCAGAGTAGCCTTCCGCACCTAACGCGGGGAAGTGGACGAATAGTCAACATCTGTTCCGCTAGCTCACGAGGCTCTCCTCCCTTGCAGACCATCTATGCCGGGACCAAAGGCATGGTTGATTCCTTCACTAAATGCTGGGCTAAGGAGCTTCCTCCCAAGTACGGGTGCACCGTAAATGCCGTGTCTCCAGGTCCTACCAAGACCGAGGGCTTCCTGGCTGCTGGTGAGGAGGCCATGCGGATCTTGCAGCCTACAATCGATGCTACGCCCGCAGGAAAGCGGATGGGTACACCAGAAGAGATTGCGTTTGCTGTGGGATTTCTATGTGATGAGCGGGCGAGCTGGGTCAATGGTGTACATTTGCATGTGAACGGAGGACTTCACATCGATTAGCTACTGCTACACATTATCGAAAGATTGTAATTGGAAATCGTTGAAAATAGTGAGAGATGAAACATTCCTGCCAATTAAAGACTGTGCACTTAAGAAGGACCCTATGAAGTAGTTCAAAGAGTATTAGGATAATTTAGGGTGATATTGAACTGTCCAAAAGTCTTGAAACAAATCCCAATTAGCGATAGTGAGATACTGTATATTGATTCATTCTTTCCATACGACTAAAATCATAACATTTCTATCTTTAGGGCTGGCCATCTATTCCTCAGTCAATCCTTCGAGCACTGGAGACATCTGGGACACCAACACCCTCAACAACCTTTGCACCCAGAATCTCATACACGGGGACTTCTGCCAACCTCGAGACGACGTGGTGCAGCGTCGGCAGAGCCTCCCAATCATGAGGATCAAACTCAAAGCTGGCCTTGTCTGCAGTGAAGACCCTCAGAACTTTACTCGGGACGACCTTGGACTCCTCTGCGTGCGGCACAAAGGTAGCATGCTCCACATCTGCCTTGCCACGATCTCCCACCTTGGGGATGTACTTGTACGCAAATATTCCTTCATCGTCTTCGCCTCCGATCGTCCCCTTGGAGCTCCCACTGTCAACCTCTCGAAGACCTTCAAGGGTGAATGAGCCAAAATTGACGCCTTGCCAGCCAGTCTGGATTCGGTAACTGTTTGCACGCTTCCAAATGTCGATGGAGCAATACAGCTTTGGCATTCCGAGCTCTTCCCGGCCACTAACAATCGGATCTGTGAGGCTTTCCCACAAGATGGGCAGGAATGTACCATCGCGAACGGTGCCGTCTTTTTGTACATACTGCACACCATGGATGTACAGCCCTATATGTCTGTACCCAGAGCCGCCGAGCCACTCCATTTTATTGAGCGTGGTCTGGGAGAAGCTAGCATATGCGACTGTCCCAGGACTCTTGAATCGGAAAGAGGTAGAAGGAAAGAGATTCTGTAGAAGAGTTCGTGAGGTCTTGAACTTGATGGAGGCTGTTGTGAATGTCGAGTTGGTAGCATTCCTAGCTTCGCCTGTGAAGGTCTGGCGTGGACCAGGGAAGGGTCCAAAAGACACGGGCATTCTCCAGTAGAGATGAGGTTTCCGAGCCCAGTCCCACTTCCTGAAAAGATTGGTAGAATTGTCCCATTCATCGTGGCCCAAGTTGAAGTTGGTATACGCCATCACTAAGTAAAAACGACTGTTAGTTGTGAGATGACAGGTGCGTCTGCAAGGTTTACTGACTGTCAAAATCCTTGTCAGGCTTATCCTTTCCAGCCTGTCGTGAGAACTCTTGGATCCGGTTTGCCCGGTCGTAACGAAATTCTTGGTAGAGATGTAGCCGCTCAGGGACCTCTTCCGGTGAGGTACCTAGTGGTAGAACGACTGCGAGGGAGGCAGCGTCTTCGATAGCAACACCTGCACCCTGCCCTTGGTCTGAAAGAACTTGGTTAATACGTTTTGATGCAAAAAATACGTATCGTGGGTGTTGGTGTTGAGGATATACTCACGAGGGAGAAAAGGATGAGCAGCATCGCCAAGAAGGGTCAGTCTCTTGTCGGTCCATGTTGGGAGAACATCCATGTCTAGTAGCTCCCATGCCTTGAGGGATTCTGGGCTGGCTTTGCTGAGGAGCTTCAATAAAGCAGGATCGAAATCCTTGTACACACCCAACAACACCGACGTGCTCGTCTCGTTGTTCCAGTCTTACCAGTATTAGTCAGTAATCCTTGCGAAGTCAATCCTCTGGGCATAACATACCTTCTTTACTCCCAGGGTCGCTCTCCTCTCGCGGATGAATGCAGACAAAGTTAAACATCTTGTTGTCATCGCATGGATACATGACAATGCGTCTGTCGGCGGCATAACATATGATGAGTTGGCCGTTATGTTGTGCAAAATGGGCGGTTTCCGGGTCTTCGAGAACATCTTTACGGGGAACGAGGAAGCGGAAAGCACTCTTGCCTGAACTGTATGCTTTCCAGTCCTTTCCAACGACTTTGCTTCGGGAGCGAGACTGTTATGCAGAGATCCTTGTCAGTCAAACGCCTAGTAGAGGGATGCAACATCGGAGGTCGAAGGTATCGTTGCTTACATGAACTCCATCAGCGCCAACGACCAAGTCGCCCTGAACTTGGCTGCCATCCTCCAAGAAGACGGTAGCTGTTTCTGTGTCAACATCAACAACGCGGCTGGACGTCCGGAGCACCGCAGGAATGCCGGGTCCTTCTGGTGTTGTTGCAAGTCGCTTGAGCTCCTGATGCAACCGTACGCGATGGACCAAGTGCCATGGATGCTGCCAGATCCTGTTCGCTCCTGTGATATCGGCATCACGGACCACTTCATTGGCCGCGTTGAACTCTGTAATCTGCAGTCATAGCGTAAGTCTCTGATTGTTCGACATCTAGAAGTATATCGAGTTTGGAGCTACATACCCGTTCAAAGACATTTGCGCCTATGGTCTCTGCAAAGATACCAAGTCGGCGAAGGATTCCATTGGCGTTGGGGGCAAGGTGCATCGCCGCTCCGACCTCATTGGCAAAGCGGGATTGCTCCAACAAGGTGACTCGATGGCCCTGCCTGCGGAGGAATATAGCAGCAGTGAGACCGCCTATACCGGCTCCGATAATGACGATGTTGAGCCCATCGGACTTGGCGGCAGTGTGGCCATTGGTGGCTGCGTGAGAGACGCCGTTGGATTCCATGGTGTCCGAGCTATGATACGACTGCTCTTTTCGCAACGGCGAGGAACCTGAGATAAGGAAAGTAGCGATGTTTACAGGTCGTTGGTGTTGAATCTCTTTTTATTTTTGTTTGTAGATGCTTCTCAATGGTTTATGTCTGCAGAACAATGGCTTGCGTCTTATCTAAATGTGCTGAAACGAATTATGCACCAGGGTCCTTTGAACCTTAACCTCGGCATTTTGGACAGAACGATGATTACGGTCCCGATGCACGACCTCCATGTACTGTTTTCTCGTATCGACGACTACAGGAGGGGCCGAAGATGATTGAGGGGTTGAAGACCACATCGGATCGGCTTGTGGTCGACACCAAGCCACTTTGAGTTAATATGGCAGGGGACTGTCACTATCCTGTCCTCTAGCCCGTTTAGACCAGAAAGCACAGTACCATTCTAATTCATTCTGCAACCCAACAGAGTCACATACCCTTGCACTTTGTGGGGTTTTCTGGGGGAGCGTCGGCAAGAAACTCTTGCTATCTAGAGTATTTGCTTTCACTGCATTAATCCCCGTGGGGAAGACACGCTAGTGGTTGGTGGAGCCGCCCCTCATCCGCGTTAGAGCGCGTCGCTAGCAGATTTTGTCCCCCTTTCCAGGCTAACCAGCCATCGACACATTCAGTGCATGCTCGCCAACGTGAGTGTCTGTTAGGCTGCGCAGGTCGTATTCGAGCTTAAATACATTCCGATATGCCCTCTTTCACTCAATCAGCTTTTCAAGGGCTCTAGGACATTCGACAGCCGATCCTGTTCTTTTCGCCTGAGGCTCGCGATTCGTCAGCTTTTGCTGTGCATCAGTCAAACTCGTTAATTGTTATTCCTTGACCACTTGTACATCAACACCATGTCTATCGATATTCGCAAGACCGACACGGGCACGGCTGATGGCCGTAACGACATGCTGGGAGGTCTACGCCTCCGCAATGAAGAGACCAACGAGATAATCCTCATACCAACCCCAACGAATGATCCCAACGATCCTCTTAACTGGTAAGCTAGCTCTCGCCTGGCTCATGTCCTCACGCTCGTAAAGCATGCTGAGCACTGCATAGGTCCAAGGCATACCGCTTCTACATCGCCATCCTCGTCTCGTGCGCCATTTTCTTCAGCAACTTCCTGGCGGCTGGACCGTCTGTCGCCATCGTCAGTACCACCGAGTCCTTCTTTGGTCCACCTGGTCCCGATTTCAGTGCCCAAGTTTCCAAGATCGCCTATTTCTTCACCACCACTGCTCTTCTCCAGGGCATGGGAAACCTGATATGGATGCCCTTCGTTGCAAAGTTCGGCCGTCGACCTACCTATGTTACGTCCTTTATACTCTATACAGCCGTCGCTGCTTGGGCTGGTGGTGCTACAACATACGGCAGTGCTTTGGCTGCGCGTATCCTCATGGGCTTCGCCTCGGGCGTCGCTGAGTGTCTCGCCCCTTTGACTATCTCGGACTTGTTCTTCTTGCACGAGAGAGGTGCCGCCATGGCGTAAGTGACCATCTTCATATACCTAACTTGGCTTGTCTAACCACCCACACGAATAGTATATATACTACTGCACTATCCGCTGGTGTAGGTGCTGGAATTATTGTTGCTGGACTCATTACCATCAACCTGAGCTGGCGGTATATCTACTGGATATCGGTGGCCTTGATTGGAGTGTGTACCATTCTCATCATCTTCACATTTCCTGAGACAGTCTACAACCGTCAGGAGGTTACAGAAGGAACGCATACGCATATCGAAACCACTCGCAAGGATCAGGATGAGGATATTGAGAAGGTTCAATTTGACGAAGCCTCGGCGTCTGGGCACGTATCGAATCCGCCAGCCTCAAAGCGCACATTTTGGCAAAATCTGTCCTTGTACAGCGGTATACACACGAAAGAGTCCTTGCTCAAGCTATTCTTCCGGCCAATTGTCCTCCTCACCCTCCCTCCTGTGCTTTGGGCTACCCTCGTCATGTCTGTTACCATCGGCTTCCTCGTTGCCATCAGCTCCAACTTTGCTGTAGCGTTTGACGCCACATATGGCTTCAAGCCGTGGCAATCCGGCTTATGCTTCATCTCGTGTCCCATAGGGGCTGGTGTCGGGGCATTCTTTGGAGGTCACTTTAGTGATAAGGTGGCGGATCGTCTGACTCGGAAGAATGGTGGTATTCGAGAGCCAGAGATGCGACTACCTGCTATCCTCATCTCGCTTGTGGTCGCGCCGCTGTCCTTGGTTCTATATGGAGTAGGCATCGATCGCAACTTGCACTGGATTGTCCCTACCCTTGGTCTGGGTCTTTGTAAGTCTGCGCAGAACTGTCTCACGCAATTGTAAATGCTAATACGAGTCGATAGTGAACATGGCAATCGTTCAAGCTACCAACGTTAGCCTGGTCTACACAATTGACAGCTATCGTCCCGTTGCAGGAGAGTTAGCAGTCACGCAGCTGGCGTTCAAGTGTAAGTCTACTGCCTCCATAGCCTGGCCTGATCAATGAAGCTGACAAAATTTAGCTGCTTTCGGTTTTCTCCTCTCTTTCTACACTAATCCATGGATTGATAAGAGTGGATATGCAAATGCATTTGGTGCCATGGCTGGAATCTCAGGGGCTGTTATTCTGTGCTGGGTGCCTATCTATATTTGGGGTCGAAGGATTCGCCATGCTACATGGAGCTGGGGCTACATTGAGAAATTTGTTCACTGGAATGTGGATCGTGAGGTGGGCGAGTAGATATTTTCAGGGATTCAGACACGATATTAAGCCTGGTATGGTGAAGCGTATTACTCGATAGCAGTGTCCAGTCAGGTACCCTTTCAGAAATTAAAGGTTGCTACCAATTATTCCCTTTGGATGAGATCGCCACTAAGAGACTCGTCATCTCACTGTCGATCTTGTCCTTGTCGTGCAAGGACGAAGTGAAGTCACGGCAACAAATAAGAACTCCCCATCCAACACCAGTTGCTCATTGCCTGCTCGTCACAGCTCCCTTTAAGCATGCCCCCCGTCTAATGTCATGCCTACCCTAGGGTCATTGACGCGAAGATCCCTGTACTAGCGTCTTTTTCCCCGCATCGCCCACATCCCGATGAACCCCAGAATTTACCATACTAAGTTAGTCTTCACTCGCTCTAATATCATGGCGCAGCCTAGACTGGTCCAGCCCAGCAACATCACGGCCATCCTTCCACCGTGACAATGATCATTTTTTCATCCCTACTCTGGCAGTCACAAACGATATGAGCGCTCCGGCCACGACAAAGAGACGCCTGTCGTCTCCTCAACAGAACCCTTTCCAATGCTCCTACTGCCAACGGTCGTTCGGGCGCGTGGACCACTTGACCCGACATATTCGATCTCGTCAGTGGGAGCAGTGCAATGTTCCGGTCTTCCAATTTACTGACATTCACTATAGATGCGCAAGATAAGCCGTTTCGCTGTCATATTTGCGATAAGGCCTTTGGGCGCCAGTATGTAATCACACCACCAAGTCGGCAATCACTAACCTTATTGCGTCGATAAGAGATATCCTCAAACGTCATGTGCTTGGACATAATGGCTCAGAGTCTAGTGCGAAGCGATACAAGCGCATGTCAAATGCTGCGCCTCGTGTTGCTCAAGCTTGTAAAGCTTGTGCGGGATCCAAGCTCAAGTGCGATGAGGATCCATCCTGTAGACGCTGCGTGGCCAAGGGAATCACCTGCGAGCGAGATACGCGGTTCACAGAAATAGGAGAAAAGACGTCACCAGACACTAGCATTCAGTCTACCATAGGTGAGGATAATGTTCGTCGCTCCTTTAAGGGGCTAATTGCTGAACAAAGCAGATCAAGAACTATTCATACCCGTGCTCGAACCGAGTCAGCTAAGCTTGTCAGAGGACGACTTCTCCAAGTTCCTGAAAGGGGTCATGACTCCTGTGGAGGGACAAGAGAGCCGTCCGATAGAGCAGGCCGACCTGGCTAGCATTCACCACCACATGTACGATCCACTTCTGTCCCACGGTCCCTTGGACTTCCGCGTCGATGGGGATACGCGGTTTGACGATGTTGCCATGGATCTCTGGGACCTGCCCTGCAGTCCATCCTTTTATTACAACGGAATCCTGCTGGAGCCAAAGGCATCTGCTGCACTCAACCTTCAGATTCAAACGCCGAATCAAGCCAATAATTCACGCCCAGCTGTGTTGGGTCATGTCGCGTATAAGGAATCAGCCCTTGGAATGTGGGAGCCTTCGCAGAATGACCACCTCAACTCCAACATCAAAGCCCTGTCTGTTCTTGGTGACAGTCCCCAGGACGCTATTCAGCTCAACGGCTTGGAGGTATGCAGTCAGCGGTTCAAACCACTGTCTGTTGGTCTCAGAGACCAGCTGCTGCTGTTGACACTGAACGCTTGTAAACCAGAAAGTAAACTCGCCATCATCAGAGCATTCCCTCACTCCGAGATTCTTTCCAAGCTCATCGAGAGCTTCTTCTCTCATCATAGTGTCCAGACCGACTCGTGGATACATGGTCCTTCATTCGAACCAAATCAACAGGGTGCAGAGCTTATTCTCACCATTGTCAACATGGGCACCATGTTTGCCGACTCCAAGATCTTGCATTCTCTTGGTTTCGCTCTCCATGAGGTGGCTCGTTTGTCTCTGCCCGTCATGTTTGAAAAGGCGAATTCTATGACCAGAACTCTCTGGGCTCTCCAAGCCTTTGTGCTGGATATCGAGATGGGGCTGTGGAGTGGTATCAAGAGGAAGATGGAGATTGCAGAGAGTCAGCGCCAGATGCCCTTCACTGTATGTCATCCCTTCTCGTTAATTTATTTCAAATTAAAATTTATCATCGGGTACCTTCTAATTCGATCACAGATGCTACGGCGCGGTAGAAGATTTAGCAATGCTTATACTGCCGCTGATCCTCCTTTGCCAGAAGACACAGGCGAAACCTTACAGAACAAGTGGCTTGCGTGGATTGAGCAAGAGAATTAC